GCCCATTACTTACATCGTAGGAGCCTACGCAACACAGAACACTGTTGCTGTATGTAGGTTTTATTTTATTTGTTTTTTATCTTATTTTTTGGAAATGTACATCCAGTTTTTTCCCCTTTAAATTTTTTTGGGGTCCCCAAGAGAGTGGGGCCCTAAGCTATAGCTTGTTTAGCTTATACGTAAATCCAGCACTGGCTGTGACTTCAGCTCAAGCTTTGTTGGCAGTAAACAAACCAAACCTAAGCTGCTGGACACAATGGCAAGCCATGGTTTACTAAGTCATAGTTTAGTAAACCATGGTCTAGTATTATATGCAAACCAGGCCTACATCAACCCAAGTGAACTAAATACTTAAAACCATGCTAAGAGCCAACATTCCTTTTTTGTGAAGTGGGTAACAAAGTAGTAGAAGAAATGTTTATACAAGATATGACATCCTAGCCTCTGGATGCAATCCGATGCTTTTATATTGCATCATCACTAAATTGTTAAAAACTCTGGTTGAAAAAGTGAGGACTGTGTAGCACAGGACATTCTTTTTTTTTAGCAGTTAAAGAGAGAACAACCCATTCCTCCTCCAACACAGAAATTATCTACATGCCGGTTTATTTCCATATAAATTTATTGTTACATATGCTAATAACAAACAGGGGAAAACAAACAAAAGAGAAATGCATTGTTAAACATACAGAAACGAGCAGATTGTCTGATCCTTGCTAAAATCCATCAGAAGGATGAAAGCACCATTTCACATCCATTTATGAGAAACATTTTATTATTATTATTCTTTTGGCAGACAGAAGGAAGTACTCCTCCCAGGAAGTGCATTCTTTTCTAAACAACTCGTTAGTATTATTTTGCTAGCCAGTAAATGTCAAACAATCTTAACAAATGCTTTTTGGCACATTAAGGTTTTCATTAAACATGGAAGGTATCTTACACGGTAGATTTATACCATCCAGCTCTGTCCCAGCCTTCAATAAATTATAACAAGGTAGCTAAAGCCAGACTTTGTGGCACTTAATATAGGGATTTAGGGGGAAATAACCTTTAAAAGGGAAAGCACAGGATGAACATTAGGGACATTTAATTTGCATAGCAATGATCCTAACAAGTCTCCCTTATTATGTATTTATGTCTAATTTATCATTTTCACTAAGTTTCTTTTTAAATACTTTATTGACATTCTCTCTGTGTGTGTGCGCACACACACATGTACAAGAGTTCATAAAAACAGAGGTTGTAGCAGTGCAGGTTTGTACAGTCTGTGTGGCTTAATTTGCAGGACTGCAGAGAATTTATGGGACCCTGGGCAATAATGAATGAGGTCCCCATTAATGTATGTCAGTGTGCTTTTCTCTCCCAGAGCTGATTAGGTGAACTTGTGGGGCTCCCAGCTTGTTTTTGTCACATTTTAAGAGGTTTTGGGACTCAGGGCATCACCAGGTCCTTATTTTGGCACATCCAAATGCACGAGGTGTTCCCAATAATCCCAGTCAATTGACACAGAAGCCTGGAGAGCCAGATCTATCCTTAGGAAGCTGGTTTGGGGTGCCATGAAAGGTTGATGTTGATCATACTGATCTGGGAGGGATCAGATGGTCTGACTCTGAGTAAGGTAACTCCTTATGTTCCTATGCCAAAAATAACTTTGCTGGCTTTGAGTACTCTGGGGTGTATCTCGTGCTAGTCCTACTCAGAGGAGACCTGTTGAAATGAATGAACATGACTAATATAGGTCCATTCATTCCAGTAGGTCTGCCCTAAGTTAAGCTTAGCGGGATACAACCACCTTGGGTGTTATACAGGGCCAGCCACAAAATGCTTGGCCTGACTCTACACAGAGGTATCTTTTTTAAGCGCCAAAAACCTCCAAAATCCTGAGCTATTGCTTCACTGAGTTCACCAACTTTTGGCACACTGTGTTTAAAAGAAAAAGGGGGGGGGCCCTCTGGAAAATTCTGTTTAAGGTAAAGAGAATCAATGCCAGCTGCGTTGTTCTTATGGCTTCAAAGGTGCATTAAAACAAGAGTTGCCAACCTGTTTTGGACCAGTGGTCACATTTTGAATTTTGAGAGTATGCTGGTAGTGCCAGCCACAAAATGACTGGGCAGCATGGCATAACACAAAATTAGACAAGACAGCCACCCCTGACAACTGTCATGGGAATTCAGCTATGTCCTATTAGTCCCAACTATGGAGCTAATTCAATATTGATTTTACACACACACTCATGCTGTCTAATAGCAACAGGGAGCATTCCTCACAACACTCACTTTCATTTCACAGAAGTTACCTACACATTTTGCCTTATAACTTTCTTTCTAGATGGACTAGGGACTGACTTTTTTAAAAAGGCACCAGGGTTGGCAACCTCTGCATTAAAAAAAACAGGTTTTGGCCAAGTGGATTCTTACAAGTTGTGTATGTGTGTGTGTCAATTTTTTTAATGAAACATTCATCACATATTAGTTTGCTCCAGAACAGCTGACTTTTTTCTCCCAAACCCTGATGGCATACAATGAAGATATTCTGCACACCCAATTTTTAGCACACTCAAACATGGGTGCACACACCCATCTCTTAAAGTCAGATTTTTTAGGACCGCTGCTAGATTGCCTCAGAGAAGATAGCTTGATTCTCGCCTTAGTCCTGGAGTGGCTACCTTTGTCCACCCCCACCCCACCCCCACATCCCTTGCAGCAGGGCCAGTTGCAAGGGATGGTGGGAGTTGTAATTCAGATACATCTGCACAGCCACAAGTTAGTCACCCTTGCTGCCTTACCCACCTTTGCAAGTTATCCTAGCCACACTTTTACTCCAGTTAAAACCCTCTTCCCCAGAGTCCATGAAAGCTTGTAGCAGATTGAGACCCATTAGTTTTCCTCCATATTTCTTTTTTAAATGCACAAATGTATAATTTAAATGACCCCTTCAAACTTATTGCTTCAAAGATCTGCCAATTTGGAAAGTGAACCCAATGTTCTGCAGACATCATCATAAACAACCAGCATAATCCAACATAACATGAGGCAATTATTTAAGTGTGATTGCTTGGAGCTCTCGGGGCACAGCGCGGATCTCTTGCATTCTTTGCAAATAAGCAAATCATAACCACAATAAGTGCTAGCAGCAAAAAATGGTAACACTGCACATTGCAAAATTATCAACCTAACATGTCCTCCTATTCTACAAAAGTTTGTGAACCGTGTGATTTTAATAAAGGATTGCCAGCCATTCATAATTGTTATGGATTGCTTCTATTTATTTTTTTTAGAGCCAAGTCCATAATGTGTAGAAAGCTTGCTCATTTCTTTTGGGGAGGTAGGGGGTGGGGAGAGAGAATAACAATACATTTTGCATGAATGATGAATTCACCACTTTGATAGAGATGCCATGAATATCAACCCCTGAAGCAAAAATTGTGTACTCGCTGTTTCAGACAAGTGTCCATTGCACATCTGTTTTATGAAAAGCCAATTGTGCATGCAATGTGTAATAACGGTTCAGATCTGCCTTAATTTATATGGCTTTTGAATGCAGATGATGCACAATTAAGGAAATTATGAAATGTGACATGCAAGAATTATTCCAATCTGCACTACTCAGAGAATACAGTTGTACAACTACATATAATGAGAGGCATGCAACACAATGCAATGATTTAATTCAGCTTTGCAAACACTGCACACCCACTTTTGTGGATTAGGATCCCAGACTCGCAATGCCAACATGTTGAAAGTCTGCAATATTCACCAAGAGAAAAGTGTCAGATTTTGCACACCCTGCACTTTCAATGTGTCTCCTATCTATACAATGTAATTTATATCTCCATTGTCCTCCTATCACTAGAATCCAATGTGTCAGATGGAGAAATTTAGCTCCTTATTTATTAACTGAAGCAATTAAAACTGTATGATTAGATATTTATGATATTATTTGGGGGGAGGGGGGCAATACAATTCTTAATGTCCTCCAGTTTTTGCCCAAACTTGGTTGTGGCTTGAATTATCTGTAATTAGCAAGCAAAAAGATTGCAACCCCACTTAAATATCTATGACATTTGTCTGACTTTTGTGCATTGGGTTAGAAACACTTTCAATAAACTGTGCAGAATACTGCTAGTCAAGAACTATTTGAAACAATGGCACTTTTGCTTTCCACTTATTTATGCAAAATCTCCCGATCATTGTTTAGACGTAATATGAAAACATAATTTAGCATCCTATGCACGAACCTGCATCCTTCTCTTTCTTCAGTATGGCCATGAGAAGGAGACCAGCTGTTTAAAGCTAACAAGAGTTTGTTGCTTTGTCTAAACTCAGAACTGTTTTATCTAAACAAGCCAGGATGAAAAACCACTTGTCCCAAAGTGACAAACTGCTGTTAACTTAAAATACACATGGATGCTATAGCTACATTGAAGGAGAATGCGCAGAAGGGAGAGGATGAGCCCCAGGCTCATGCATGTAGCACTACACTATGGTTTAGTGTTACATCCTAACCCACCCACCCCGCCTTTGTGATTGCAGAATCTGTCTGAGCACTTAGATCTAGAGCCGCAAACTGGCCCTCTCTGTATGCAGATACAGACCTATGTGAGCACATGTCATTCCCTGTAAAATGTGACACAGAATTAGCCTCTGTTACAAGACCACCCCCCTGACCACTGTAAATTAGCACCATTCTACTTAATTCAATGGAGCTGTCAGCATAGGTCAAACCTGAGAATTTTACAACAAATGCTAAACCTTTTCACGCCGGAAGGGAAAGCAGGGGCTATGTTCATAACCGGAAATATGTTTTTAAAATTCATGAGAAGATACATATGGCAGTGTAGAACATAAGTAACACTCAAAATAGCCAGTGACCTTGGTGGTTTTGATAGAATATGAAAGGGGCATGGTGGGATTGCTCTAATGGGTGACCTGCGTATTTAAGAAGAAATAATCTGGACATCACAGTTTGTGTGTAGATCCTTGGGATTAGATACCAGCGACTGCAGTACAAAATTCAGTAAGGTTGTAGTCTCTTGTGCACAAAATGATACAACTAAGTTACAATAGGACAGAGTTAAAAACAATATAAACTAATGAAATGTCCTAAATTGCTTTCTAATTATTATTATTTATCTAAATGCATACAAAAATATGTAGCAATCAAATAACAATTTTATTTTTTATTTTTTTAAAAAAACTGTCATTGCTGGTAACTCAAAGAGATACCTCCAGGAACGTTTTGACAGTAAACACTGTTGATGTTGGATTTGTTAAATAGACTTGGCATACAATTATCACCATCAAAATCCCATGTTTGAAGATCTGATGAAACACCAGCAAAGTTCTTTCTGTAGGTAAGCGGTTCAATATATCTATATCAGGTCAGCTTCAGACCTCAGTGTGTTCATTAAGCTTGCAGAAATTCTAAAATTGAAAGAAGAAGGAGATTTCACCCTACAGCTAAAGTTTTCTAGAATGCATTAGCATGTAAGTCATTAACAATCCAGGCATTTAACAATGAAAATAGACCCAGGGTGGGGAAAATAGACCCAGGGTGTGAATAACTGTATTGTATCAGCATTTCCAGAAGCGGTACATGAGTCTACCACATTTGCAAAGATATCATGATGTGGTCCCTATACAAAATGTCATTAGTATGATACATAATGTTAAAGAGAAGATCTGGACAGAACTGGAATTTGAGAGACCTGTGCAATACAGAATACCAGGCATTTAATAATAATAATAATAATAATAATAATAATAATAATAATAATAATAATAATTTAGTATTTATACCCCGCCCATCTGGCTGGGCTTCCCCAGCCACTCTGGGCGGCTTCCAAAAAATAATAAAATACTGTAATACATCAAACATTAAAAGCTTCCCTAAACAGGGCTGCCTTCAGATGTCTTCTAAAAGTCTGGTAGCTGTTGTTCTCTTTGACATCTGGTGGGAGGGTGTTCCACAGGGAGGGCACCACTACAGAGAAGGCCCTCTGCCTGGTTCCCTATAACTTGGCTTCTCGTAGTGAGGGAAGGCCCTCGGTGCTGGACCTCAGTGTCCGGGTAGAACGATGGGGTTGGAGACGCTCCTTCAGATATAGTGGACCAAGGCCGTTTAAGGCTTTAAAGGTCAGCACCAACACTTTGAATTGTGCTCGGAAATGTACTGGGAGCCAATGGTCTCTGCAGCTGCTCCCAGTCACCAGTCTAGCTGGATTAGTTGTAGTTTCTGCGTCACCTTCAAAGGTACCCCCATGTAGAGCGCATTGCAGTAGTCCCATTCTTGATTCATATCTGAACTATCTTAGAAATGATAACAAACCCATTTGCAAAAGCGGAATTAAAGATCTGGCAATCCTAGATGTAGAAATTAACACCCCCTTATCACTATCGATTCCCTTCACATTGCATCACAATTCCCATCCTTTTACAAACCTGATAGAAAACTGATTGGTATGAAAGGAAAGGAAAAGGCTTGTACTGCTTGATTCACTTTTATGAAAATGACACTTCTCTCACAGCAGGACAGATCATGGAAAGAATGGAGGGATGCTGGCTGAATTGGCTATCAGTTGATGCATTGTGTCTCAAACTCAACAGTTAAATCTCAAGCAAATTAGAACAATGACACCATTTGAACGAATGATTCTGAACATCCAAAAAAATGCTATCAATTTTATATAAAATACTCACTGATCTAGCCATTGGACTATTAACTTGGTTATTAAACAAAATTGGGAAATGGACCTAGCCATAGCAATTGAAGCAGCATATTGGAAAAATCTGTGGACAATTAACTCTCTAAAATCAACATCAACCCACATCAGAGAAAACTATTTTAAGTTAATACATATGTGGCATTTAACACATGTAAGAATCAGCTATATAGATAAAGCATCTACTTTGGCACATGGGAGAAGCACATATCCTGCTGTTCTAAGAAGGTTATCGTAGTATAACACAGGCACCAAAATTCACAAGACCGCCACTGCTAGTAATGCAAACCTGGCGTTTCATGGGAGTGTTATGTTGAGAGGTAATGACTTCTTAGCTTCGTGGAGAAGGACTCGTTTGTCTCACAGAATCCACGTTAAACACACTAGCACACATTAAACGTAGACTGGCACAGTCCAGATGGTGTCAGACTTGCACTTCCCACCAACCCCCTGCCAGCCAGTTGTGAGGAATTATGGGAATTGTAGTCCAACAACTTCGGGTGGGTACTATGCTGGCCACCCTAGCATTAACGCTGTCATTTGCCAGAGTTTATATTTGCCCAAGGATTCTGTGTACTGGCACTGTGTCTGCTCACTAGGCTAGGTCTCAAACCTTAGCTTGAGATCTGGAATCCCTGACAATAATGCAGCAGTTTGGATTGCAGGGGCTAATCTGGATGGAGTGCTGAACCCAAGGACTTGAGGGTGTGTTGGCTAGTTCCAGCACTAGGATAGAAAGAACCTTCTGCACCACTGTTTGATCTTTCCTTTGATACTAAGGGAAGCTTCAGGAAATTCATTTTTCACCCAATGAGTCATGATCTCTAGGGCCACCAAGTGAGAGGAAGCCACTGCAAACAGGTGGTCTGAAACCAAGCCCAGTGTCAGCACTTGCATGGAGGAGCCAATGGGCTTGGAGAGTCCACCACTGCTGGCATTGGCTTCCTTATACTTAATTTGTTTTTGCTTAAAATGTTTGGGTTTTTTTAACAGCACTCTGAAAAGAAGTCCAAAGGCCATCTAGAGAAATTAAGATAGTGGTGATAGCTACAACCATTTCCCCCAGCATTTGTTCTCAGCCCAGGGCTGTGTGATACCATCCAATATTTCCTGCTCTTTGGTGCAACCTGGCAAGTTTGTGAATGGGGGGAGCCCATCAGGGTGGTACTGAGGGGAGCATCTTGCCCAAGGCACCTTCAAACCTGGCCACCACACTTTGGGCAAAGCTGCGAGTTGTTTGTTTACTGAAGCCAAGGTGAAGGAGGAACTCTGTGTGTGTGGAACCTACTTGCACACTTTAACTACAACAGCTGTGGGGGGGGGGAATCCCCCCCCAACACAACTTGCTTGTCCCATAAATATGTAAAAACTAAATCAAAGAGAGCATAACTTTCAAATAGCTAAAATACTGCATTTCCCCTGTTCGGCATTTTGCTCGGCAAACACCGCCAGTTTTCCTTAGTTTTTAGTCAATCAGCCTAAAGCGATGTTGGAAGAAAAGGAGGAAGAAGACTTTTCTAATTGAATTAGCAGAATGTGCCTATTCACGGTAATAGGGGAGGGGAGGGCGAAGAAACAGAAAACAACAGCTTATTGACTAGTTTTAACTTTAATCTGTCTTGGAGGGGACTCTGTCTTGGACCCCGGCCAATGCTGTAGTCATGCATAAAACAATGGAAAGCCAAAACTCCATGTGCTGCCTGAACATTTGCTTTAATAACAGTTACAGTGGAGAGTCTCGCATGAGTTTACGCTATAAGGGAGTGTGCGCCCTTTGAAACGAGAAATGTGGAAACAGAGTTTCTATAATAACGTTGGTTCCAATCCAAATGCCCCTGAGCTGTGTCGTATAATATCGCCTTAACAGAGGCTGCAAGGGTGAGGCTGGACTTAGGCAGGTGTAGGTAGCCATGAATGAATGCAAGCAGGAATGGAAAATCACACCGCAGTAGACAGCCCTCACTGCCGCCATATATTGTTGCTTCCAACTACCTGCTGTTCCTGTTGTTGCACACACACATGTGCATGCGCTGATTTTTAAAATGAAATGGCTACTATATGTTAAACGGGGAGGTCAAGGGGCTATTTAGCTTAGAAAAAGAAGAAAGGAACATAGGAAGCTGCCTCATACTAAATCAAACCACTGGCCCTTGTAGCTCAGTATTGTCCACCCTGAGTGACAGCAGCTTTCCAGGATTTCAGGCACGGGACATTTCAAGACCCACCTGGAGATGCCAGGAATTGAAAGTGGGACTTTCTGCATTCAAAGCAGATGCTCTACCATTGAGCTAAGTCCCTTCTCATATATCTTTATGGCTGAGGGGGCATGCTATAGGGTAGGAGTAGTCAACGTGGCACCCTCCAGGTGCTTGTGAACTATATCTCCCATCAGCCACAATCAGTATTGTCAGAGATCATGGGAATTGTAGTCCAGAACCATATAGAGGGCACCACTTTATAACCCTATATCAAACTAAGAGTGCCATGGACAGAGTAAATAGGAAAAGCATGACTCACCTCTTTCAAGGCATAAGATCTCAGGTCAGCCAGTGAAATTAGCAGGTAAGAAAAACAAAAGGAAATACTTTATGACATAGCCCATAATTCACCTATGAACGTCATTGCTGCTGGTTACTGTGACTGGCTTTTTTAAAAAAAAGATGCAAAGAGGAATAATATCCACTGGGGTAGTGAACAGCAAGTGCCAGAAATGCAGAAAAAGTACCCCTCCTGACTGCTGGATGCTGAAGATGAAGAACAAGGTACAGAGATAACCATCTCACCCTGTTTGTGAATTTCCCACAGACATTTGATTGGCCACTTTGCAGAGGGAACTTGAGTGAGGTAGAAAATCATGATAGCTCTCTTATCGTCTTCCGTTCTCGTGCAGTGAGACTCACCTTGTTCAACTGAATGGCACCAACAGCTGATGACACCGATTCAAAGAAGATGGCATTCTCGGATTCCAGCTTTCCGCTGAGCTTCAACGCCTTTATCAAGGAAGCTGTAGTAAGACAGGAATGTGCACACTTTAAAAGAGAGGAACGACACCCGGGAAAGTTAATTTGTAAAATTTATGCTCACCAAAAACTGATACTTGCCTTTGCAATTTGCCAGCAAAACATCAATGTTTCTTTTTTTAGATTCCGTGTAGATCTAAAAGAATCCAAATATTTAAACCACCTTACTAAAGATGCTGAAGTATCACATTCAGATGAAACGATGCTCTCCCTCCTCCTTCTGTTTTAGATTTTGACACCTGGTTGTTGTTGCTTTCATTATTTCATATAAATGAATTTAACACAAATTAGCAAGGCCCACTTTCGGCTCAGGAAAGATGTCACTCAGTAAGAAACAGGTAGGGTGCATACACCCCATATATTTAAAACATGTTTAAAGCACATTCCCCTCCAAATAATTTGGGAATTGTGATTTATCCCTCACAGAGCTATGGTTCTCAGTACCCATAACAAGCTGCAGTTCCCAGGATTCTTGGGGGGGGGGGTTGCTTTAAATGAATTGTGTGTGCCCAGCCTAAGTAATATTTAGCAAAAAAATATACATGCTGAATTGCAAGTGTCCAGCAGAGGGAACTGTTCCATAATATAAACATCCCCCTAAAAGCTAAAATCCATTAAGGTTTTGTGGTATGGAATGGTAAGCCTCAATGCCACATTGTAAGGACAAACACTGCTGTGATGCAGGAGGATTCTGCTTAAGTTCCATCTAGTCCAGTATTATGTCCCCCTCAAAGACTGGCAGTTGCCTCCAGGAAGGCCACAAGCATGGCAAGAAGGCAAGAGCCTGTCCCTGCTGCCGTCCCTGCAACTGGCCTGAGCTTATTTTGACCATGATGCAATTGCAAACAGAGCACAGACCAGAGCGTATATTTGATACATCTCCTGCCCTCTTCCCTTAGTCCATGACATATGCAGCACATGGCAAGCTCACATGCACTTTGCTATGTCACGTGGATAAAGGGTCCTAACAGTAACGCTGTGGCTTCATCGTATCTTTCCTTAAAATGTAATGCAAATATTAAACCTATGTCGGTCACAACATCAGTACGGTTTTTAAGCGGTGAATGTACAGTGGTCCAAGTTTGCATTCATTCCTAAAGCAAGTGCCTATTTTCCAACTGGCATGTAGCAGCTAGAGATTAAAGTTTCTAAAACCCTTTAGTGCCACTGGATCTCAAAGAAGCAGCTTTTGGTCTTTGCCCCTCCATGAAGCCCTAATACAAAAGAAGCATATGGCATCTGCTTTCTTCTAACTAATCTTAAAAAGCAATGTGAAATGATCTATTTGATCTAGGACTAAAGGCATGTGATGTTATTCATGTGGTTTGAGTGCAATATTTTTCTTTCACAAATAGCCAACACACACACACAACTAAGCAGGACTGGAGGTGTCAGGGGATGTTTAAATCTTTTGCCCCGTTTGATTCCTATCTGGATAGATCTAACCCGGTGTCTATTTGCACAGGGGGCTTTTTTCCATGCGCATAGCAGGCACAGGGGGATATCTGGATTGGGAACAAAGGAGCAAATGTCTAAAGTCCCTCTCCCCTCCCAATCCAGCTCACCTCCCCCCACTCCCTGGCTGTTGTGAAAGAAAAATGGAATAGTTCCAGTGGGATAATACTTCAAAGGAGATTGGCAAGTGGGTGATGCCACCCGTTTGTCCAAGTTGGCCTGATGGGGTGGGGGGAGATAAAGATCTGTCCCAATGGGCCAAAAAGGTTCCCCACCCCAGCTTAAGGGCAAATCCTGCCAGTCCTACCTAGTCAATGATTTCTATTAAGTTTGATGAGTGCAATGTTCACAAAAGCAATGTCCAGTCACATATGCTGTGACTGGTCTGGTCCTCTGATCCTTTTCTCTCTTGTGATAATACCTGCATGTTTGACTCATGACTTCTGAACACTTGTTTTGCTACTCCGTAAAGTATCCAATTGTTAACAGAGAAGGACAGCCAAAGGCTTTGGATAGGGGAAGGAGGGTCAGTTTCTGGGAAAAGGTGAAAAAAGAAGCAATCTGCATTTGGTCAAAAGGGGGGGGGGACTTGTCTGAGAGGAAACTTCCTAGAAAAAAAGGGACAACTAGAAAGTGAACATAGGACCCTATAGGAAAAGATACGGGAGGCAAATAGTTTCCAAGCTGGGCTCTGATTCCCATGTACATGTAGGTCAGTTAATTTCACAAGATGACTTACAGTTTGGCGATTACTCCATTGGGAAGTACTGTGTTTGAAGCGACAAAGGAGTGGAATTAGATGGTGATTGACCTCTGAGGGCTTATAACCCACATGCAAGTCATCACTTGATGCTGCAGCCATCAAGCGACAAGTGTGGATGTATGAATTTGGTCTAAAAAAAAATTTTTTTTTTAAAGGAACAGCACAAAGATTCGTGCCCATTCTGCAACCATCAATGCATTGGACGGTTGTGATGTTCTTGAAGGAGGAATGAATGTTTAGGAGGCCTTCTGCTATCCTAGATTATGCCAGCAGTATACTTGTTGGAACGCGTAACTGGGAGTAGAATGAGTGGGAGATTCATCCACAGAGTACACACACAGGTAGGTGTATAGAATCATATAACTATAGTTGGAGGGATCCCCAAGGGCAATCCAGTCCAACCTTCTACAATGCAGGAATCACAGCTAAAGACCCCTCTGTTCAAACCTCTGTTCAAAAAATTCTGATGAAGGAGAGTTCACCACCTTCCAAGATAGTCTACTCCTGAGTCACACAGCTCTTCCTAATGTTTTGTTGGAATCCCTTTCTTATAATTTGAATTCATTGGTTTGGGTCCTACCCTCTGGAGCAGCAGAAAACTTCCTTGCTCCATCTTCCATGTGACAGCCCTTTAAGATGGCTATCATATCACCTTTGTTTTATCCTCTCCAGGCTAAACACACTCAACTTCCTCAATCCTTCCTCATAAAGCTTCTTGGTCTCCCTCCTCTGCACACAGTCCAGCTTGTCAATATCCTTCTTAAAAGTTCTACCTAGAATTGGGCACAGTACTCTTGGTGGGGGTCTGACCAAGGCAGAATACAGTGACACTATAGAATAGTGTGGATACAATAAAATGAACGTGGTGAATCATAAATACCTGAGTAAGCACAGAGATGCCAGTGTAGTCAAAGAAAGTCAGGCCACTGCAGTCAAGTATTAGGGAATGCCTTTCGCTGGGCCATTGCTGTAATGATGATTCACCTATACGGTTAGTTAAAAGGTCTGTTATTTATTTATTTTATTTGTGGGCTACAGACAGATGCGGTATCAATCAGAAATAAGGGGGGGATTTCTATATGGAATTGTGAGGTCATCTTGTCCAACCCCCTGCAATGCAGGAATCACAGCTAAATGGCCATCCAAGCTCTGCTTAAAAATCTCCACCAACTTCCAAGATAGTCCATTCCACTGTTGAAGAGTTCTTACTGTTAAAGTTCTTCCTAATGTTAGTCAGAATCTCCTTGCTTGTCATTGGAACCCACTGGTTCGGGTCCTAGACTCTGGAGTAGTACCAGAAAACAAGCTTGCTCCATCTTCCATGTGACAACCCTTTAGGCAGTTGAAGATGGTTATCATATCACTTTTCAGTCTTCTCTTCTCCAGGCTCACCATACCCAACTCCCTCATGTGCTCTGTATGCTGAAGACCCCAGATTCAATCCCTAGCATCTCCAGGTAAGATGAAGAGGCTCCTGCCTGAAGTTCTGGAGAGTTACTGCCACTCCATGTTGACATGAATGAGCTAGATGCACTATTGGTCTGATCTGGGATGAGACACCTTCCTGTGTTCCTAGACATGACTGGAGAGAAGCTGAGAAGACCAGAAATGAAGCCCTGTGCCCTCCCTATGGTGGTTTGACAGTATATTTTATGGTTTCCGTTCTTTATCAGGTTCCCAGAGAGCTTTACGGAAAAGCCTTGCTAGTTCCTTAAAATAAATAATAATTCCACTTTTAGTGAAGTTCTTTAGCTTCCTTCAAAATCCCTCACAAGTTTTGCTCTGGAGGACCTCCTGCATTTTGATTCAATTTCTGTCGGCACTTGCCACCCAAATTTTCTATTAGGGGAACTGATGGCAAGTTTGAGTGCAACTGTCTCTTCATGGAACGTAAAGGAAACAGCTTCATAGATACTTTCCAATAGGCAAACTTAGAATCATAGAATCTTAGAGCTGGAAGGGATCCAAGGGTCATCTAGTCCAACCCCCGGCAATGCAGGAATCTTGGCTAAAGCATCCATAAAGCATCCACTTCACTAGGTAGTGGTTAATCACCTGCTAACTGGATTGAGCAACTAAGTATCTTTAAACACTTGATGCTTCTCATAATAATGTGAGCTTTCTAAAAACATATGCTGAAGTTACCACTTCCAAAAATGTCCCATAGCAACCCCAAAGAAGCAGATTCACAGGCAGTGCTAAATAACCATCCCATGAGCACAAGGATTTCCACTTGCAAGGCAGAACTTCTTCCCTCTTCCTTCCTGCAGCACAAAGTCTGCCCCCTCCTCCAATCTGCTCCAGATGGTTGGGGAAAACCCCAGAAAAGATTTAGGGGGTGTATGGTGGGGGGGGGGTCCTGCTGCAGAAGTCGAAATCCTTACACTGATAGGATAGTAACTTTGCACTGCCCGAGTTACAAACCACAGAATTTGCTTTCCACCCCATTACGGGGATCTGACCTACGGGACACAAGTATCATTTGCTTTCTTCTGTTAAATATTGGAAGAGAACTAACCTTCTAAGTTATAAACTACAAAGCACTAAACAAAAGGCTGGAGATACAAAATGAAGCGGTTTAAACTAAATAGTTTTGACAAAGAATATAAAGGGCTCAGAAATTCTTCAAGGGACTTAGGTGCTAACAATGTATGGATTTACATTGGCACTAAATCCTCTCAATGAGTAGCCAAAGATTTGGTGCTTTTTTTCGTTTGCAGTTCTTGAGGTTTATTGGATTATTTAATTGTATATGCATAATGTTTTCCAAACAGAGCAAAAGAGAAATTAATATCAAAGAAAGTAAACTCCAGCCAGACAGTAACTAAAAATAGACTCAAGAGAGCTGCTAGGCCTTTAATGCAATCCTCTCCACAGCCCATACAAAAATGTCAAAGAGTAGTAAAAGAAAATCTTTGCCCCAGAGAGATAATGAAAGATCAGGAATTATGGGAGAATACATCAAAAGCTTGGAAAATTCTCCAGTATTTGTTTTACCTTGTAGTTACTGATTTACCTGAATAGAAAAAAAAGACACTGCTGGCATTTCAGCGTCTCCAGGTGGTCACATTGCCCCATAATATACGGTACTTTTCCATGTATAAGACTGGATTTTTTTACTCTAAAATAATGTTCAAAATCTGGGCTGGTCTTATACATGGATGGTATATCCCCCCATTTTCTTAAATCGGAGTCCCCAAAAATAGGGGGCATCTTATACATGGGGGCAACTTAGGTGTATTAATAGGTTTTTTATATCATATAAAGTTCACAATGTTTGTATCTTACTTTGTCGTGAAACACAATCTTTGGACATGGAATTCAATGGGGAGTGAGTTAAAGGGTTCTTTTGTATTTAAAAAGCCTCCTGCCCCCCACCTTAGCATCGCAATTAAATGAGAAAGTCAAGACATGGAACAAGAGATGGGGAAGAATTCGTTGAGTTTGCATTTTAATGAAAACTACTTAATTTGCACTTTCTCCACATAATACGCAAGCTCAAATGCGGATACTTCTTGAACTTTTAAAATTCAGTTCTCCAACCAAATAATGTGTGCAGAAATGTGTATATAACATGCATATATGAGAAAAGATAACATTGTGTTTATCAGGTAAAAATGCATATAAAATGTAAACTGGGAGGATTGAGCTGTAAAATGAGAGTTTTTTTGTTTTTACAATCAAGTGGAATACACATTTTATAAAATAAACAAAATACTGATTAATTTAAGTGAAGCCTTTTTTAAAAGAAAGAAAGAAAGAAAGAAAGAAAGAAAGAAAGAAAGAAAGAAAGAAACAGAAAACTGATGCAGAATAGTGGAGACAAGAACATAAGACTATAAAAATGAGAAACTGAAACAGACAGGTTCTTCCAGGCCTAGTAAGAGACAGTCTGCTCTGCCAAGCTAAGGTTCCATTTGCACTATACATTTAAAGCAGTATACCAATTTAAACAGTCCTGGCTTCCCCCAAAGAATCCTGGGAACTATAGTTTGCTAAGGGTCCTGAGGGTTGTTAGAAGACACACACACCCGGGGGGGGGCAACATAACATGCTGTTCTGAGTCTCTTGTCCAGAGGTGAAGGGGGATGGCAGTTGGAAGACCAGGACTCTGATTCCTGCATTGCAGAGGGTTGGACTAGATTACCCTTAGGTCCCTTCCAACTCTACAGTTCTGTGATTCCCCTCACAGAGCTGCCAGAGTGGGAACTGGAGCTCTGTAAGGAGAATGGGGGGGGGGTCTCCTAAGAACTCTCAGTACAGTGGTACCTCGGGTTAAGAACTTAATTCGTTCTGGAGGTCCGTTCTTAACCTGAAATTGTTCTTAGCCTGAAGCACCACTTTAGCTAATGGGACCTCCTGCTGCTGCCACGCCACCAGAGCACGATTTCTGTTCTCATCCTGAAGCCAAGTTCTTAACCCATTAGCTATTTCTGGGTTAGCGGAGTCTGTAACCTGAAGCGTTTGTAACCCAATGTACCACTGTACCTTTAACAAACTTTGCTTCCCAGGATTCGGGGGGGGGGCATGATTGTTAAAAGTAGCTAGATACTTTGAATGTATGGCATAGATGGGAGCTAAATGAGCTGGCTGAAGAAGAAGAAGAAGAAGAAGAAGAAGAAGAAGAAGAAGAAGAAGAAGAAGAAGAAGAAGAAGAAGAAGAAGAGTAGTAGTAGTAGTAGTAGTAGTAGTTTGGATTTGATATCCCGCTTTATCACTACCTGAAGGAGTCTCAAAGCGGCTAACATTCTCCTTTCCCTTCCTCCCCCACAACAAACACTCTGTGAGGTGAGTGGGGCTGAGAGACTTCAAAGAAGTGTGACTGGCCCAAGGTCACCCAGCAGCTGCATGTGGAGGAGCGGAGACCCAAACCCGGTTCACCAGATTACGAGTCTACCGCTCTTAACCACTACACCATACTGGCTCTCACCATCTTCGACCCTGTTAACCACCCTTTGGCCAGTCAGGCATCAGGAAAGCTCTTCCCTTTCACCTCCTCGCTGGCAGCCATTTGTGTACATCCTACAGAACTCATGCCTGCCTGCCTCTAGCCTTCTGGGTGATTCTAAGTGACATCACATCATGCTCCTTGCCTGGACGTGTAAGCATCAGGCACATTCATGCTACCTTCTCCATTGCCATCATTTAGGTCATGCACTCAAGAGAAGCCCTGCATGTAATGGGAAGCTCTTGCTTTGGTTTTGGGTCCTGGGTCTTGCAGTCACAGCACACACAAACAGCTCTCTGCGACTGGCGTGCGGAAGATGGAGAACAAAGCTCTCAACGAAGGCACAACACCACAATTTGGAGCTTTTGTAGTGCAAAGGTGCAATGCCGACAGGCAAGTATATTCATTTGAACTTTAGATTCTAAAGCAATAAAGAACTGGGGGGGGGAGAGAAATATGACCCAATCATATAATTTTATGGTATTCCACTGATCTCCAAAGTGGTGCAAACCTGGAAATCTAGATCACCTATGTTTGGTAACTGTCCCACATGTTTATTTTACAACACATTTCGAACACCTAGTTAAATCAACACACTCATTCCAATACATTCACAATCTTCAGACCCTTCACCTCCTGCCATGTCAAAGGGAAGGTATGTGGGACAGTGAGATAAGTTTGATTCCTGATCAAACTTTAACTGACATGTGTCCTGGAATATGATGGGGGTAATTTAAAGGCCCGTCAAGTGTTTATGTCTTAAATGATAAACTCACCATGGCAATTTCCATTGGATAATGGGCTGAGCAATGTGTTCTGTTCATACTGTAAGAAATAGAAAAAGGAAGAGATGAGAGAAAGGAAAGAACTGTCCCTTGTTTTGCTGCCTTAAAAGTTTTGCAAACTCAGTACTTCTTCGTGAGGCAACTACAACCCAGCCTTAGTAGTAATAACACCCTCACTTTAAAGGGGGTGTGATGTAAATTAAACAATAAATAAATATTGTTTATTACAGTACATTTATACTCAAACTCTCCATTAAAAATGCCCAAGGTGGCTAACAGTAACACCCACAACAGAAAATAGCTAAACCATATTTTATATATATATATATATAAACATACATAGCATTACAATAAACCTAGGGCCCTAAATTTGCCTCAAACTACAGAGGGAGAGGCTCAAGCACATGAGGGGAAGGCAAAGGGAGAGAAGAGGGTACATGAGCTCAGAAGGTGTTTGAGCTGAGGACACGTTTATTGTACTGCCATAGCATGGTTTGGATAGCAATGACTCAACAGAATAGCAAGATGGGGGAAAGTGCAGCGGCGGCGGCGGCAGCAGCAGCATATATACTAAAGCCATGTTATATGAGCCATAAAATAACTTTGGTCAGCTTCATTTATGCATATATTTGCCTCTGTAACTTAAGAACATTAAGAATGCTGCTGGGATAGACTTAAGATCCTGGTCCTGAATCCTATTTCCCATAATGGCCAGTTAGATGCTGTCAGAAAGCCCAGAACCCAGGCATAAAGGCAATATCTTTTTCTCTGAATACAGCTTCTGAACATGGAAGCTCTATTTATCCACAATTGCTAATATCCATCGATAGATCTCTCTTCCATGAATTTGGCTAATCCTTTTCTATGCTCACTGAATTGACACCCCCCCACACACACACAAAAGCCCACATCACACTTGTAGAATCCTTCATTTACTGCGCACAACTCATTTTCTATTTGTGTTTGGCTTCAGTAGCAAGCAGTGTGTCTATGTGTGCGTGTCGAGCAGCAGAGCTACCTGGCTTAACTAGTTGGCACACGGTCTACCCTGGTTCCAAGCACTGGCTTTTGGATTGCTGCCTCCGACTAGGTCACTGTTTTCTTAGGCATGCTTTGAGTCATGCTCCTAGGTTTCTAATCTGGATCGACTCCATAGCTTCGAATGCTGATTTGGTGGAGGGGCAGGGGAAATGGCCAGGCACCCAGTATTCATATAAACAAAGTCTTTGTTAAGAGTGATGGATGGACCACTGTTCTGAAAAATTAAGCTTTTGCTTTCTCAATCATATCTAACCAAAATCAACAGAAGGACTCCACCACTGTAGCGCTGGAAATTGGCTTCTGTGTTGCCATATCACACAACCTTACTAAGCGGGAAGGGGGAATAAATAATGTTGTGCTTTCTATTCCTTCAACTATGGGAGGTCCCAGTGTAGCTTTGCACGGTCAGTTTGCTTGAGAGAAGTGGGAGGTCCTGGAGATGTCTGGTGGTTCTGTAATATCCAGTATGGCTTGCAGACACATCAGAGCCAATCCAAGGAGATGAAAGTCAATCCATTACCAGAAACATTCAGGAGCTTGCGAGGAGGCAGGGCTTGTTTCATTCAGCACATATTGCTAGGAACCAGGTGCAGAATGCGTGACATGGTGGGGCTACCAGTCAGCAGCACCATACACTTGCCATCTAGGTCAGTGTTTCTCAACCTTGGGATCCAGCTGTTTTTGAACTACAGTTCATCATCCTGACACTGGTCTTGCTAGCTAGGGATGATGGGATGTAGTCCAAACAGGTGGAGGCCCAAGGTGTTGGGAAACATGATTTAGGTGACTGCACATCCTGCTTCTTACTTAGTTTGTCAAAACAAAAAGTATGTTAGAAATGCACGCAGCAGCATTCACTGAATATGTAAAAATAATTTAATCTAAGAACACTGCCGGTTACGTCTCGTGTTTTTATTGAGTATGCTTTACATGACCATAGGCTTGTTTGTTGTTGTTTTTCTTTGATCATCCATGCACAGTCAGCATTCATGGTAAGCAGCCATGCCACTAAAGGGATGCTCTGAAGATCAAGACAAAGTGGCCACTATTAATAATCCTGAAATTTGCTGCTGCATATTTGCTGTAAGGTTCCTCCATCCAGCCAATACTGTATTGTCAACTTTGATGGACAGTAGCAAGGTAAGTGCTTTTTTTTCCAGTCAGAGCACACCAAAGTGTAGTTCTGGCCCCTCTCAGGTGGGTGTCATTGTGGGCTGGTGCTCCCGCCGCAAAACGAACATTTCAAGTCAAAACGGAAGCTGGCCAGCGTGTGAGAGTCTACACTTTTATTTAGATCTATGACTCCACTTGGCTACTAGCTGCTAGATGGCGGGGCCAAGTCCTCCTTCCTTTTCCTCAACCCGTCTCCTGTGTAGCTACGGCAGGCTTTAAGCTTTCAAACCAGCCTCCACCGTTGCACACATACATGTTTGTGTGAGGGCCCTTCTGACCTGCCCTAGCCATCTACCTGAAACTAAGAGGACGAGGGAGGCGGGGGCACATTTATTTGACCTGTACCAGAAACAGAGGAGACTCCCACACCAGTTAGAGAGACAGCTTGCCGTAGTTTTTAGACCTCCGTGGGTGGTGAATGCAGCTGTTGTCAAAAGTGGCATCTGTTCAGGACTGCCCTTAGTTGCCCAGTGACTTACTGTAACAACTTTGTGGTGAGTTCTGGAACCAATTTTTTAAGAAAAAAAGCACCAAGCAAGATCCAGATCCTGTTTTCCAGTTAAGAAATTTATGTCTCAAGCAACAAAAGGTTTTATTCTGCTTATTTTAATTCTTTTGACTAGATTTGCCAGAGACCAAACCTGACAGCTCAGCAATAGAGAATGCCTGGAGAATGACCCAGGACCCAATCCTTGTATAAAGCCTATGAAGAGCCACTGACAGTCAGTGTAGACTGCTGAGTTAGATGTGCCAACAGTCTTACTGGGGATAAAGCAGCTATCTCTGTTCTAACGTGTGTTCTCTACCCCCGAGTCATTTCCTCTTGGCAACAACACAAAGTGCAATCACCATGCTTTGAATCTGCAGTACAGTTTGAATTTCCTCTCTGCAATACGAGCGGGTGGAATGAAAACGTGAACCGAAAGTACAGAAAGAAACACAAGCAACCCTCTCTCCATGATGAAGCATGCCTTACCTTGTTCATATCTTCAGGTAGCTGCTGTGCACACGTGCTTTCCTTCTGGATTATTTTTAGTATGTCCATGTGAAACTTCTTAGCGTTCAGAAAGACAAGTGGGTTATTCACCGAGACAATTTTTACTGCTTGTAAGGACTCCTTTGAATTAAAATTAAAAACCGATTAGCTAATATAGTAATGCTTGTTAACCAGCAGACATAGCGTTCTTTACAACAGACTAATGGAGTTGAACTTCCTGCTCAGTGCAATGCAAGATCTACAATGCAGCCACCCAGCCTCTAATAAAATACCTCGACCAAGAGAAAGCCTACTACATACCACCCCACAGGCAGTGTGCAGAAGTTTCTCCTCATGTTTAAGTGAACTCGGCTTTCCTGCAATTTTTCGCCTTTTGGTTCTCGTTCTGCCCGCTGGAGCAATATCTTCTTCATGGCAGTCCTTCAGATATCTGAAGACAGCCATGCCTCCCCTTAACCTTTCCTTCAGGTGAAACATACTCAGCTCTTTCAACCACTCCTCAAAAGACTTGGTTTCCAGGCTCCTCTGCAAAATCTGGTGGCACCAGCTGTCATCCCTCAGGCTGAGCCTTCTAGTAGGCCCCACAGTGGACAGGAAATAAATGTATGAAAACTGAGAAGTCTGAAATGTCTCCCAACATTTTTTTTAATGCCGCTTAAAGCATTCTGCGCCCTAGACTCCTGAATGCCAAGATGATGCCAGGTTCTCGTTAGGTTGTGTGCAACAAGAATAAGATCCCTCCCCGGCTGCTATAGGTACAAGCAGTCTCCACATACACTCTGAGGAAGGAAGTTGAAATGGACACATGTCCAGCAAGGACAAAGCACAGAGGAGGAAGGAGGAGGACAGGGATTCCCCCATGCTGAAATATAACTCCCTTTGAATAAAGAGAGAATAAGAAGACTAGGCTTACAGAATCTGCTTCTGTTTTGAATCTGCATTCCACTTCTTTCATGTGTTTCAGGCTCAGAGTCGTTGCTCTATAACAGATATGTGAAAGCAGCATATATAAGACTGCACACTGTGACTGTAGATGCCAAAACAAGCTTTTGAAAAGTGAACATTTTCCAGGTGGTATCTGGCTATTCACATGTTCCAGATTCTGCAAATTACTTACTTCATACATTGGACAACCTGTGTTTGTTAATGGGTGCTAAAATAGAAAGGGTTCTATAGCTACTTGCTCTCCTACTTTAAAAAAAAGTCAAGCTCAATCAGAGGCATAGTGTGAGGGGGCCTGGGAGGGGGGCATGGCCCCAGGTGCACATTTTTGAGCTCTGGCAGCTGAGGCGCGGCAGTAAGCAGCTTGGTCTAGTGGTCAGGTGGGTGGAGGCAGCAGGCAAGCAGCCTGTTGGAGGTGGGTTCCATTCACCCTCCACATGGACTCCACACATGCCCTCCCCCAGTGTGAGCCCCCACCCCAGCTGCCCAGTTCACTGGGGGTGGGGGGTGCAACACTAGCCCCGCCCCAGGTGCTGGCAACCCTCGCTACGCCACTAGGCTCAATAGTTAAATTAACAGGATTCGTTCACCTATATGTAGACAAACAAAAAAGACATTGGGCAGTTTTTCCAGACGCATTTGCAAGGCAGCATCAATGAGCAGAAGACAGGAATTAACCCATCCCCAACTACGAACCGGCTCCTGCTAACAACATCCTCAGACCCCATATTCATTTTACAATGGAAGCATAGGATTGGGAATCCCGTTTTCCCCTTACATCATGCTTATTTTAATCCTGAAATTGGTTGCATAGTCATAGCCTATACTATGATCATTCTGTGACATGGACTAGGAATGCGAACCTTCAACAGTTCCCATGATTCCTTGGAGGTAGGAATGACAGCTGAACTGGCATATGACCTATGTAAGTTTGTAGTGTATTTTTGCCCTAAATGCAATAGGATGATATATTTCACTGTTGTGGATACAAAATTGTTTGCCTCTGAGAACACTGTAGGAATGTCTCACCTTGGGAAACGGAAAACCACTATAAGTATTGTGCAGACTACGCCGTACAGCAATCCCACATTAGCAGCAAAACAAATTGTAAATATGTACGTGCTAACCCATATACTCTGTAAGGAAAAGAACAGAAGACAAAAGGGAATTAGTTATACAAACTTAGCAAAAATGTGTAGGGGAAGAAAAGTTATTAACCCTTTCCCTGCAAGCTGATTTTTGTCCAAAATATCCCTTCCCCAGAGGGATCACCGTATAATATTTTCTTTTTTGGGATAAATAAGTACACATTTATTGTAGCAGCACTGGTCACACTACTGGGAGTCAGCATAGGCTTTTCCTAGGCCCTGGTCAAAGGCCTAGTCAAAGGCCTGGTCAAAGGCCTGGTCAAAGGTAAAGAAACATTCAGAACCAATATGACCACAGCAGTGGCAGGACAAGGAGGGGAGAGAAACAAAGAAAAGAAAATCAGTACCATGGACAGTTACAGATTTCTCCTACCACATGCAGTGGTATTGTGCTTCCTGTATAACAAAAGTCATGCTTCTTGTATGATACAACATAAGTCAAGCATTGCACAGCTGTGAGTACACTTTGATAGCCCAAGAAGCCATGACTAATAAATGGTTGGATTTGGTACGCAATATAGCCTAAAAGATCTCAAGCCCTGACAACGAGCCTAGTGAGCTATTTTACATGTTGCTGTTTACAGAGGCTGTTATAGCATTGTGAGAGATCTGTGTATTTAAGTGCACTGGTGCAGTGTATGGAGATCATCATCAGTGGGAGTGACTTTTAAAAGATATAAAACACTTATCAAGATGGTGACACTAGATGGTAGGACTCCAAGCTTGGACATCTGCATCACACACACTTTTAAAGAGAAGTGTTATATTTTATTGATCACGTTTCTTTCTTAACATGCCTACAAGGATCACAGAGGTTCCCCATTTTATTCTTACAAAAAAAGCCTTTGATGTAGGTTATGCCAAGAGATAGTGACTGATCTGAGATCACCCAGAAAGTTTCATGGTTGAAACTCTATCCCATGCTGTAACTACCACCTCACAAAGGATTTCTGCAAATATCTACAATCGGTAGCAGAGCAATCACGCTCAAGTCTATACACATATACAAACTTAAAAACCTAATCCAAAATTTGGTAATTTTATATTCAGCTTCAGTGAAAGCTAGCACTGAAATCTCATAACATTCTGATATCTCATTGACTTCTACTGGTTTGAACCAGAATACTGACGTGTGGAGGGGACAAGGGGGAGAATGATTGCAAAAGGTTTCCTTTTACAAAATTTGAAATTAAAATCTGTTCATCTTTGCATTTCTTCATCTGGCTGCTTCTTAATTTTACTGAATGTTGTTCTCTTGCTTATTATTTTTAAGCATGGTCCAATGCTGAAGTTTTGTTCCTCCAAAAAAGTAAGATTTATAGTGCAAATTGAGAAGAGAACAACGAGTAAAACATTAAACCCAAACCAGCAAAATGCATATGTATGTACAGGGAAGAAAACAGAAGTGGGGGGGGGGATTCAGGACTGGGGAGTTGCTTTGTAAGAAGACTGATGAAAAGGTCTTTTTCATCTCTATCATGTTGGTTGTAAAGAAAGCCAAAATGATGGAAAATTATCCCCCGATGACTAATTGGTACCTGGCTGAAGCAATTTGATTATTTCAAGTTCCTTCCATAGTGGTTGTGTTGCTACATAAATCATACCACAATTCACATCCTTTAGAACAAATTAGCCAAACTGAAATTACAATCTCGTCTGGAATGAAATGGTTTCTTTGTAATAGCATTGAAGCACACGGCCTGGGAAAACTGCTAGCTCAGCACTTGCTTTTGAAAATGATGACTCTGAATTCCAAGGAGAAGGCAAGGGGAAAAGAAAGAAAAGGGCAGGATAATGCTTTATACAAATCTTGGAAAGAGCAGGAAACAAAGTAGGAGGTGAGAGGAATACTTTGGATCCAAGGAGAATTTTACCACCCAGACAAAGATCTTCTCTCAACAATGAGTGTTGAACTCCAAAACATTTCTGGGAGAGCACTGTTCTCAAACCAAACCCCTAATTCTAAGAGGCCAATGATCTCACTTGCGTCGAAGTGCCCATCTGGCTGCAGCAACTACGGGCTTGATAGCTGCTACAGCCAGCCAAAGAGCTACCCACCTGCCTGCCTTCTTAGGGTCTACACTTCCTCTTGTCCCCTGCTGAGAAAGCAAGGATCTGAGCAGTTTTCTGCTTGTCCAGTGCTCTCTAGGCATGGGTCTGAGCGGTCTTCCATGTGCCCTGCCACTTTCCCTTGGAAAACCCACTCTTTACCCCAGAATCGGAGCGAACGTCAATCCATGGGAAACCCAACTGAGGTTTGCTCCGATTCAGCAGTAAAGAATGGGTTTTCCCAGGGGGAGGCAGTCCCAATGGGCAAAACAAGACCTGCTATCCCTCACAGCAGTGTTGCTATAGAAGAAAAGTAAGCAAGTAGAGGTGGCAATAGCAGTGGCTGTAATAAGGCTCTCCAGACACCATAGCAACTATGACAGGCAAGTAGAGGTTTCTCAACACACAAGGGCTAAACCGCAAGCTCCTTTGAACTGACGTATTTGCTTCTACATAATAAGATTTGGCATGTGACAAAGAATCATATGTAACTGTTTCTATTTCCTGAATTCATTCTTGTTCTATTGATGTTCCACTGAGAGTCCTATGGAGTTTTAAACATCCAACCTAGAATGCAATTGTAAGTATAAAACCAATATTTATTTCAAAAAGGCTCCTCCTTTGGCAATGGGACATCTTCACTTCAATCATAATACAAGGCACAAATGCCTGGGAAAGGCTGGCCAAGACAACCATATCCCCACCTGTCAGTTACCCTTTCAGAGGTTTGTTATGGCTCTCTGTCAGAACTCTTGTTAATAAGGACGTCAATATGCCACACTGACACAGAGTGAAGCAGGTTTTCTTTTTATCTTCCAGCTTTTAAAGGAAAATCATAGACAGGAACAAAGTTCAGTAAAGACATTACAGAATATACAAAGAGTACTTTGGCAAAATATTTTTATAAAGACAAGTAAGGCAACTAATCAACACATCATCAGCTTGTCAAATAACACGTTTAACCATCACCCAACTTAATTATTTGTTCTAGGACCTTTCCTTGTGCTAGAACATCAAATGAGAAGGTGGATTCCTGAGAGCACATGACAGAGGAGAAAGGTGATTTGTTAGCAGGAAGAAAAGGGTAAGGGAAAGAAACAGTGGCAAAACTTTAATTCATATGTAAAAGAATGGACCTTCCTCTCAGTAAATTCCTACACAGTTGGCTGAGGGACAGCAACAAAAGGGAAGACTTGGTAGTGGAGGCATTTAGGACATTATCCCATACATTAAAAGGCCTGCAGAAGGGGAATCCTTAGATTCAATTTCACTTACCCAGTCTATTTTATCCACATTCCAATACTTTTTTAAGTCACGGAACTGCACCAGCATCCCCTTCAGCCCCACCACAATGATACTTGCTAGAACGCACTGCAATGAAAGAATCCTTTGTCAGAAAGTGAATTCAGCATGCAGGGAAATAGATTTCGGCAAGTTAATTGGCAAATTCCCAGGAAGCCTGAAGACACCTCTTCACTACAGTTATCAACACCTCCAAATATAAATAATGCCAAAGAGAAAATATCTTACACGTGCCTTTTGTGGATTCTGAAATTGCAATGCACAATACATTTGGGTGGTAACTAGAAGGATAAATTCAAAGAGCCTTTGAAATACCAGGCATTTTTAAAATCCAAAAAATAATAACCAGGGACAAGAACAGGCTGTGAGTGAATATGCCACTTTCATTTCTTCAGACAGTAGAAAGGCCTCTTCCCTTGTGTGGAGGATAAGGGTTTTCCCCCTTACTCATGGGAAGAAGAGGGTAAATTATCCCCTAGCGTTGGTGCTAGAAGCCCTGGCTCCAGTCCTATGACCTAGTGCAAAATTATACACTAGGTGCAAAGATTCAAAACTTCTGCAATAAGTTCCATTGAAAACAGGCAACCCAGTTCATATCCAAGCAAAACAGAAAGAAAGACTCCCCACTCCCTATTTGTTCTTGGCACATGAAACTGGTGTGTTCTCTCCCTTCTATGAGAGCATTAATAATCATGGAATCATAATGAAAGGCGGTGCAGTCATTTTCAGAAAGAATAGTTTCGTCTATGAAAATCATATGATCGCAAATAATAGTAATTAAAAAAAGAACTGTACCATGGGCAACCAGTATAGCATTGGTCCTACTGCATAGATGACCACAAGCACCAATATGCAAGATATTAGGCAAGCCACCTAAAAACAATTGGAAAGGAGAAGCATAAATAATCACATTATTCAAATTCTAAAGCATGTCTCAAATGAAATGAAAGTGCTTGGTTTGCCGAAGTTGCTGAGCATAACAAAACACTGCAGACACATAAAAATTCTAGGAGCCAGGAAAGGGGAGTTTGGCTCTCACATGGTCTGCAGATTGGAAGCATCTGAGTATAATTTAAGATTTGACCTGTTGTGGTTACCCTTAGCCCACCTAAAGAACAAATACTACATGTATCAAATACCAATATACACAATATACAAAAGGGGGGGTTACTGTTTGATCCCAAATATGCAGGCAGAAACCACTGAGCTTCTGGAAAATGTACTTTTGTGCCTGTTTTCATTACACAATGGTTGCAATCCGAAGAAGTTCATCCACACCCAAGTCTCGCTGATTTCAATGAGATTTAGGATGGGACTACGTGTCATCCGCATACCTGTTGGTTGGCAGCTTCTCCTAGGGGGGAATTGTGGCAAGGAATTGGTAGCTGGGGAAATGTTTAGGCACTCTGTTCCTTCACTTGTCTCCTCCCAAGTTCCTCTCAAACCTGATTGCTTTATTTATCCCAACTTGGGGATTTATTAATTTGAATTACTTTTATAAGGAATGATTTTAGAGTGTTGTGTTGTGTTGTACTGTTGTACTTTTATTGTTGTTAGCCGCCCTGAGCCCGGCTTCGGCTGGGGAGGGCGGGATATAAATAAAATTTATTATTATTATTATTATTATTATTATTATTATTATTATTATTATTATTATTATTATCTTTCCTTTAAGGATCTCAGAGTGGCATACATGGCTGGCTTCTCTTCACAACAATCCTATGAAACCAGTTTGGCTGAGAGCAACTGGCAGAAGGTCACCCAGTCACTGGGAATTTGAACACAAGGCTCCAGCATCCAACAGTGGAGAACAAGCAAGTATGCATGGATTGCTGTCTCTTTCTGAATCTTTTGCATTTCATTAAAGTTGCCCGTGCAGTTTATCCCCGCATTCTACATGGAGGGATCTCTAAGAAGCCTTTATTTTGTCCTCAAGGATCTAATACTGCGATTACACATTACGAAAGATGCAGGACTGACACTAAAAACAGCAGTGCTCCCAACTCTCCACCTCAATCTCTTCCTTTTCTTGCATATAAATGGGAATGTGTGACACCACACCTCTTGTTATTGCACTAATAAAGCGGCACAAGTGCAGAAAAACTTGAAACACGGTACCATTGTGTCATCCATTCTGTTTTACTGCACAACGGGAGGAAGAGAAGGAGAAGAGGTGCAGAGAAGCTACTTTCAGCAATAGCCACACATCTCTCATAAGACGTTGTTCCAGTCTGATGTTGAATTGCCGCAGGATTTGTTTGAGTGGAGACCAATTTGTGGGGAGTGATTGGATCTGTTTCTTAGCCATACCACGACCTGCATGATTTTTAAATATTCTCTATTTTGTACGTATTACTCTCCTGATTGGACCTGTGATTCTTATTGGGTGGGAACTTTTTTTGCCTGTATTTGTTGCTTTGCTTTGCTTATTTTATGTCAGTCTGATGACGAGACTTGGCTTGAGATAGGCATGTAATAGATCAGTTTTGTTTCCCAAAACAAAGGACTGTTTGGTTTGTCAGGGACTTTTGTGTGTGTGTGTTTAGTGTCTGTGTCTAGCCTCTAAAATCACTATTGTCATTTGCTTTTGTCTCCGTTGATATTTTGTATGGATAGCTCCAGTGGTTGATCATACGCCCTTACGTATCAAAGCATTCGCTGGTCGGTACAAATGGGTAAGGGTTTTGGTTTGGTTTTCTTTGGCCTTCATCAAGAGAAGGAAGACATCAGCTGCTTGGGTCTAGAGATACTTTCCAAATGAGCACAGACAGTGTCTCAGGAAAGGGCAAGTACTATTTCCCTTCCTCCACAGAACATGACAACCTCATTTCAGAAACTTCCAGTTTGGTAGTGTGGGCAGGCTGTTTTATCACCTTTTACTGCTGTTTGAAGGGATCACAGCACTTATTCCACACATGTTCTAACTGAATGGCTACTTTTTGCATTTCATTTTCGTCTGATGTCACTCCTTACAAATCCCATTATCCCCTATGTATCATACACCTGCAACTGAAGATTACACCATGCATCTGATGAAACGGACTCAAGTCCACAAAAGCTTATTCATAATAAAAATGGTTAGGGTTTCAAAGCACCACAAGACTTCTTGTGGACTGTAGGAAGAGACAATCAATACAATTGGAGGCAGGCTCTTACTGCCCAGCAGTTATTAGTCTGATTTTCTTAAGGTGAAACCAACACTCTGACTGTTAACCTTAAGGTTATATTTAGGTATTGTAAGATAGTTTAAACATTACTCTTTTTTTCATTGGGAAATGTAGACCTATAGAAAAGAACATGTGCTAAAGGTAAGGTGAAGATCCCAGGTTCATCTGCTGGCATCTTCACTAAGAGGGTCAAAGGCAGAAGAGCTGGGAGAGACTTTTTGCCAGCAGACCTGCTGCTGGTTAGGATAGGGCAGCCTTCCCCAGCTTGGTATCCCATAAACTCCCATCAGCCCACACCAGCACAGCCAATGATAAGAGATAGGAGTTGCAGTACAATATATCTGGAGGCCATCAGGTAAAGGAAGGCTAGATAGCCCTATTGACCTAGACAGTCCATTGCATCAGTTCAGTGTAGGCAGCTCTTAATATATTTTCATTCCAGGATCATTGCCCCTGTATTTGATTGGTCGGTATTACTTTTCTAAAGCATCTTAGGAGAGTTAAGCTCGCTTCCTTTCCCTTTTCTTCTGCCAATGTAGCAGGCACCTGTGCCTACAACATTGCCTTGAATGGTTACGAAGGATCTCACACCTCACTTTCAGCATTAATTACACTGCAGTGCAGGAGATGCAAGTACAACGGCCAATATTTCAATTCTGCCAAATAGTTACCTGTGTTTTTGCTCCAGTGCTGAATAGGAGAGCAGTACGGCCCATGGCTGCTGCGCTGGGTATGCAGAAGAAAAAGGATGGGATCACGTTGCTGAGGCCGTGAGCCAAGAACTCCTGGAAAGTTGTGGGGGGAAAGAGCATAAGAACCAAAGTAGAGTCCTGCTAGATTGGATAATCTCAACAAGCATCCTGTATCCCAACAGTGGCCCACCATATGCTTCTGTGAAGCCCATCAGCAGGGATTAAAGGCAACAGCCCTTGGCAAGTGGTATTCCACCAGCTATATTGGAGGTTCCATATAGCTGTGTTGGCTAATAGCCAATGACAGGCCTGCCCTTCATGAATTTCTTTGTATAATCCCCTTTTAAAGCTGTGTAAACCAGTGGCCTTCACTGGGGCCATGCTTAACTGGTATCTCATTCCTACAATTACTGTGGGCTACCAGGAAGGGACAGCAGCTGCTAGGTTGGTGTAGTGCAAACATAGCAGTGGGAAAGCCAGATTGGCCTCACCGGTTGACTTGCACTGCACCAGCCTCACAGCCTCTGTCTCTCTCCTGGCAAGCCACAGCAACAGTGGTGATGGGAGGTCAGATGAGCCCTGACACCCTGCCAGCTGCTACTGTGATTTATGCAAGTTAACCATGCATTGTGTGAATAAGTTGTTTTGCCTGTTCTAAGTTCACTGCCCATCAGTCTCACTGGGTGACCTACCCAAGCTCAAGCGTTGCAGAAGAAGGAGAAAAAAAGAAATGCTCTCTATCCACTGTCTTCTATCCACTACTACTAAGACAAAAGAACTGCAGAAGCAGCCCTATCCCCCGGGCCTGGATATTATCTGACCCATTTCCGAATTTGGTCTTGTGGGCTCAGTGGGTAGAGCATGAGACTCTTAATCTTAGGGTCATAGGAGCATCTGACAAATTCGAGGTGGGGGTTGCTTTCCAAAACCAGAACCTGTGTAACTATCCAGCGTAAAGTGAGGAAGCCTGTTCTCTTGTTCAGCGGTGGAAGATCTACATGGAAAAGCCCACACGTGCTCAGATTTTAAGCGAATTTGCTTAAACCTGTTTGCAAGCTACTTTTCGCTATGCAAATGGCTTTGAGAACATTTTGCCAAAAGCTGGAAAACATTCTAAATCAATAAACAATGCCATGCAATAGTTTTATAAATCCTTCCCCTCCCTCCCATTGCCTGCATACGCTTATGGTTTCTTCGCTGGTAGTTTAGAGGTTACCTTGGGGTACCAAATAAATGCAAGAGTGATCAACAGCCCTTTAATATAATATTGTAAATTTGCATGACTTTGGAACTAAAGATCTTGAGAATGGACATTGGCCTATCTCCGTGGCGTACAGGAAGCACAACAGTTTATCCAGAGCGGGTAGAGATGGAAGGGACATGGTAAGGTGTAAAGTCACTAGCTGTGTGGAAATGAGGCCATCACTGCAGCAGGGTTTATAGGCTTCCTGGCATGCCTAGCATAACCCAAGAACCTAGTTCGGGGGGGGGGAATGTCATAGTTTGAACCAACTTTCTCAATTATGCCGAATTCTTTTTGCAAATTAATCAAAGGACTCTCACTTGCTTTTGGATAATTTCAACCAACTCTAGCAGCATCATGGCAGTAAAATTGCACCCTTAAGACTAATTGTAAGACCACAGTAAGCATGTCATGATCCTGGTAGGTTTCTGCTTGGAGCATGTTCACCAAAGTTTCATCAGCCGAAAACAGTGTACGAATGTTTACCTGGTTATCATCCACAGAGTAGTTGAACTTCTTAGCAGAGGCCTGGGCGAGGGCTAGTGAAGCTACATAACCAACCAATGCCACTCCAAATGCCTCTGTGATGACTTCAGGGAGGATATTCATGGGTGGAGACCTTGGCAGTGGTATGCTGTAAAAGTAAGGACAATCCTATGTGGTGGAGGGTGTTATGCATTAGAAGGCAAATGTGCCAGTATCAAATCAAAACTATGAACTGAAAAGTTCCCATTAATTCAGGGTAGGCACAGAAATCTCAGTTCTGATGGAATTTCCTCATTTTATAGCCACAAAATCACAGTCTATTCCAGCTTTTCAATTTTAAGTTTAGTTTGAGAAGGGTCATTTTTAGGAAGCATTTGCATTCTTCAGTGCTACAAAGCCTACCAAATACCAAAATGCGCTGTCTAGCCTGCTGTTATTTAATAAAGCTGCACTGATGTACTGAAATGATACATATTGGAGGTCTTTGCCTCAGATAGCTTATCAAAGCTTCTTCTCAATATCTCTACATTTCACATAAATACAACCAGTGCATTTCTTCCAGGGGAAAAATGGTGCCTGTACTCACCATGAAGTTGTTTCAGTAAGTGTCACACTTTTAACCAGTGCTTTTATTCTAGAAAAAATGGTGCCAGTGCTGCGTGCCCTTGAGTACCCTTGGAAAACAAGCACTGATGCCAACCAGCTGTAGCCCTTATTCAGAGGGTTAGCAAAAATCTCAAACATGTGAGCAGGAGGAGGCATCATGGCCACTATTCTGGACCTCCACACATGGCCAATTTGTTTGTGAACAGATATGCATATGCAAAGTGTATGTGTGTAGGTTGCCTCCTTCGTAGGACCCCCAAATCACATGGCGAGAGCTTAAGTTCATACAACTTGAATACTTAACCTCAGATTTCAAAGGAATGGCTGCTTACAGAGGTTGATGCTAGGACCACAGACACCCTTCCCCTCTTTAAATCCACAAGTTTAGTATTTCCAGATTTCGATCATCTGAGAAATGACTACATTTAGTCCCACAAGCCCAGGCATAAAAAGAGGCTGGACATTCGGTTTGTAAAAACCAGTCAGCATAAAAATAGATGTGTCAGTTTAGTCTTCAGTAGCAGCTTTAGAAAGAAATAGGGGACAAAATCAGACAACAAAGGACTTGTGGTTCTTATTCTACAAAATAAAGCAGCATTCATATTCATCAGAAGAACTGGACCTACACTACCTACACAGTGTTCTCAGTCTGCTAGCAAGTGGATGAGTTTAATGTTGTGCAACACAGGACTCCAATATAACAGTTGCGCTAGCAGAAGCTTGTTGCGCAACAGATTTCATAACCTGTTGTGCAAAAAAGTTACCAGCAACCTGCTTGTGCATTATCTTATGCAGCTACATTCCGCTGGGGCAAAACATTTCACCAGCAGAACAAGAATATAGTGCTAAACGATTTTAACTTGGTGCTTCGTTGGATACGACCCACAGATCCCCAGTATCTGATGTCTGGTTCTATATAGATTCCCTATTCAGTAAATCAGCCTTCTGAAAATCAACTCTGTTCTTATCATCCTTATTAAGGCAGAATTCATGGTTTCATTTTCATTTTTCAGCTGCTGACCATTTTATTGCACGGGATGAGGGTATGCAAACAATTATTTTAAAATGCAAAACATACTGAATATACATATTTATGTATCAATACATACAAGCATATAAAGAACACGTTACCCTTCTGGAATATGTCCCACAACTTCCATGCCATAGCTGTGCTTCATATCAGCATAGTAGCAGGCAGCAGAGGTAGCAACTATCTATTGGTCAAGCAACAACAAAGACTTAGAGGAGGAAGGCAATAAACATTTCACACTTTTTAAAGAAATCTTTATGTTTCTTTTGGCACTGGGCTCACTTCTTCAGAGAACAATATGAGTGGAACCAATGGAATAGAAGCAATATTGTTAAGTTACAGAGATGAGACCATTGGGTCAGCTTCTTCTCAGATGGGGATTGCCTATGTTCACGTATAGTTGGGTTTACATGATAGCATATAGCTATACAGAAGCTATGTGAATATTGGCTCTTCTACACACCCTCAATTTATCTACGGTTATTTCATTGAATTAACAGTTGAGAAGCATGGAGTGTATTGAAAAGGAAGGGGATGCAATTTCCCTACATTAAGAGAGCGTGTGTTCCCACACATCTCAGGTATATTGAAATGAAGGTGAGGAGCACCCTTCAAACATACCTCTCTATCCTCCATCCAGATAAATAAGAAGATTATCAGCATCCAAGGACACATTTCAGTCGGGCAGCGGCATTTGGGGTGCAAAGCAGGGCCAGTGAGGTGTGGCCTGAGGAGAGCTCCAAGGGCAGATAGAGAGGCCTGGAGTGCCCAACTTGGCCCCCAGGCCGGGGTTTCCTCACCCCTGCCCTATATGTTTTCATCTGGCACATGTACACATCCAGATTCAGAGTCCTAAATGTGTACTCCTATGCACACAAGGCATTTATGTATCTATAAGCAGACCCTATTAATACAGAAATACCCAATCAGCTCACATTAAGGTGTGCTAATGAGGCCTCATCCATTGAGATTAATGGAGGGGGGGTTTTTTTGGGGGGGGGTTGAGATCTTGAATCAAGCTCCCACACCTGTAAGGCTTCTTTGCATCAGAGCCACAGTATGCAGTTACAAAGCACAATCCCAGAATTCTTTACTATAAAGACAGTAGGCCAATATACCTCATTACTACACCATTTTGAAAAACAGCTGGGCATTACAAAAACTAAACATCATAGCTGAGACACCAGAAGGTTGCATGGCTACAATTAACGAGCCCAAACAATGTTTTTAAACCTCACAACTGAAGCCACTCAGTTGCCATTTTCCTTTGTGCGGTATTTGTTTAATATTATACTTTTATCAAACTTTTCCGAGAAACAGTACACCTGAATTTATCTAAGCTGGTCACACCATTATCTAAATGGCAAAACCATAAATATTTTCCCTGCACTGCATTAACAATGAGCACCACCGGCTGCAGCAGATTGAGAAGTGCAAAACAGTGCTTGTGTTTATACTTACCAAAACCAAATCAATAGGAAGAACCACCTTGATTTTCCCTTTAAACTTTTCGTTCAGTTCTTTAACAAGAACGAGAATCACAATGCTCAGCACAGAGAGCAGCAAAGCTTCCAACTGAATGGACTTGATGTTTTCAAAGATGTAGGCATAAATCTATAGTGGAAAGAAAATGAGAAGGTCAGTTGAATATCAAGGGTGTAATTGCTCAAAGAAGTAGGTCCACAGTTTTGGAACTTATTACTGAATACAGTGGATTGTATCTAGACATGCCTTTCAGCAAACGCAAGAGCTGCTTCCATTATATATATTCCATTTATATTCCAGGAGAATATAAACTAGTTTTTTCTGAACTCAAAAGTCACCATCAGGAGATTTATATCTGCTGTTTTCTTACACAGAATGGTAACAAAAAATGTTGACTATGTACATGCAAAATGTTACAGAGCAAGCTATGATCCCACTGTCCTGGAAAGCCACAATGCCACAACTAAGGTCATCATGACCTAGTCTAGATTATTTCACTGGCGGACATTTGTCACCAAAACAGGGATGCAGCTTTTCCATGCTTGCTCTAAGATCGGGGGGGGGGGCACATTTTGTACATGAGTCAGACATTTGGAAGGATGGGCAATGAAACCACAACCTTGACCCACATGCTGTCCTTATATAATCAAACAATGAAGATGTTATACTAGAGGGCTTGGGATTTGGCAACTAGAAAGCCATGCCTATCCAGAAATGTGTGTTGAAGACAGCATGTGGCTTTGGCTCAGTGCCCCACCAGGAGCCGAGACTGACTAGGACAAAAGACAGAAACTTGGAATGCCATGTCCGAATGTCAGCACAGTCATCAGCACAGGCTCAGAAGCTACCCAAAGCCAGATCCAAAGAGCAGCCAGCAAGCAAAATGAAGAGCTGGACTAAATCCCACCATCAACTATTTAAATATGACATACACAAAGACTTGCAAGTTTTATTTCAAACATCTGTCTTTTGTTGAATATAGGCTGCCTTTGCCAACCCATTCTGATACACTATGCTGTTAAGGCTTTATGAAGGCATTCTGAAATAACAGGAATTGATTCGGGAACTCGCAGACAGTCATTTTTGTGGATCATCACTACCCAGTTTGCCATTGCTTTTGTTAGCCATGGATTACCATGACCCATTTTGCTGTGGTGTGCTACTTGTTTTCCCACAGCAACACACATGGAGACCAAACTACTTGTCTGAAGGGCCTAGTCAGGGGCGTACCCAGGGATTGGCCAGGTTGGCCCCTGCCAAGGGCAAAGGCCAAGGGAGACACAAAAACTGTACCTCTCCACTATGGTTCCAGGTGGCTTGAAGCTCACCTGCCCATCGGCAGGCTCCCTGGGATGCTCTCCTGTTGCTCTGGCTAGCCACATCTCTTTGCCAAGGGCGCAAGGGAGCTCAGGTACATCTCTGGGCCTAGTAGAACCTTGTGTCCTCTAGATGTTGGGTCAGCATGGTGGAACAGTATTTGTACCACCAAATATTCATGCTACTTAGTACTTTTTCTGAGATATACTTTTCACTTCACTGCCAGTTTATTACTGGCTTAACTGGCTGTGGCAAATCTACTACCAAGGCACAGTCCAAGAAGTTCTCCCGAACTGTACTCAGAACTCTATGGAACTGATAAATGTTACATTCCATATCTCTAGAAGGACCAATGGGATTAGATAGATAGGAAAGAATGGATATAATATGCACTGCTATAATAGTAATAGCCTTGCATTTTAGTAGATGTTTATCAGACAATGAACACTAGAATTACCAACTCAATCACTTAATCTAGCATACCATGCATTAAAGATGCAGGCTCTGAAAGAAATTTCAGGGGCTCAATAAAACCAACCTCAAAAACTCTTCCCTAATTCAGATTTTGATCCAAGCTGGAGTAGACTGCTCCCCTCCCAAGCACTCTTCTCCATCCCCAACCTCCCTTCAAGCACACTACCCTCCTCTGGGATCTTGTGGATCAAAGCTGCTGCACTCAGTCCCTCTGGGGGATGTAAAGAGGCTGCAGGGGGAAATTTGGGGGTTGAGGTGAGGAGTGCACGTGGGGTGGAATCTGCCCTTGGAGTGAGCCCCATCAACTTCTCCTCATGGGACCTCTCCAGTAGTGTTTACTGGGATTGGATGAAGAGATTATAAGGGCAAAGTAGGGTTGGGAGAGGCCAAGTCTCACATTCTTAAACCAATTTCAGTTTCCAAACAGTTCTCACATAAGAGTGCATTTGAATCATTTTATTTTAAGGTTTCACAGTAGCCAAATGGCCAATTCTCATGAGCCCTTAATCAACTTTCATTTACAGGAGTATAAAAAAATATTGGGTGACACAAGTTCATTGCCTGGTCATTATATGCACATCTAAGTGAAAGGCTGCCAAAAACCTCTGATGCACTTTTGAGATAGAACATACATTTAAAGAACCTCAATTTACCAAGATTTCTTGGAAAACGTGAATACAATTTTCTGATTAAAGTTTTCCCAAAAGACATGCACCTTCATCCAGCGACTCCATGGCACCCATGAGGTTTTCTGATGTCATGGAACTCTTCACAAGCTGCATCCTCTTTGGTGATAAGACAGGGATGGCACAGAAAGAACACTCTCAGGCAGAAAATGGGTCTCCCATCACTACTGACATATAAACTTGAGAAAGTACATTGGATTGCCAGATTGCAGCCATATAATGCAATGGTGCAAAGGACAGGCGTGCTGATACATCAGTAAGTTAATATGTCAGCAAGTATAACTGTAAAGGTAAACCATTAAGGCTAGAGTTCCAAACAGGCAAAGCTATTAAAATACACAAATTAGTCAAAATACTCTAGGATCAATCCAATTTTACAGGCAAGAAGTCTCTATTAAACTGCTGAAAAGTGCTTCTCTCCAACAATTGGCTGCCAAACGCAACACGAATTGGGAATAAAGTTGCTTTACAAAAACAATTCAAATCTAATACCTGGACCATTTGGTTAGGAAACTTGTTCATAAAAATTAAGAGACCCAGATTCTAAACAAGAACATTTAGTTTTGCTTTCTTATTTTCTCTCTCTTTCAGAAAACTTACCACATGGCATTCCAACCCTCGGGTGGCATCTTGCCACCCCTTGTTCTGAAAAGTAGGTTTGGAAGCCGGAGGGTTTATTTTTAATACTCTATTTGCTGCATTCTTCAAGGGTATGCAGGGAGCTGAGTACAGTTTGAGGTAGCCAGTTTGAAAAATACATGTGGCATGATCCTTCCATGTGTGGGTGAAACACCAACACATGAAGGGATCGCCAGAAGGAATAACAGAGCCCTATATATACATGGGCACTCAGCACACCAGGCCATTGTGGGAATATGCTGCACTTCATCAAGGAATACAAGCTCCAAACTTTAATGGAGTGGAGGAAGTGAGCTAAATGAGATGGGGGGGCATGCACGGGGGCAGGGAGGAATGGGGATGGGAGATGGAAGAAGAAACTGGCCATCATGTACCTCTGCAGCACCAAGATCCCTCTCCATGTACATGGATGGTAGAGGAAGCAATCTAAGAGGCTGTCATATACCAAGTCAACGAATGAATTTGGGATCTTCAGACTGTTTGTTTCCTTATTGCAAGTTGTACAAGGGAGTTGGGGGGGGGGTCCCTGAAAAGTAATATTTGTACAAAAGAGCAAGTATTTTACCAGGCACAATTGATTGTGCTAGGGTGAAAAATGCTATAGCTGCCAAAATTCCAATTCTACACCACCGTGAAAGATACAGAACTCCCCCCCCCTTCCTTCCATCCTCACATAGTTATCACTTCAGGCCCATCTCATAATGGGGAGCTAAGCAGTAGCCCAGCAGGAATTCCCTATCTGAGATCACACATCTACTACAAAATTCCAAGTAATAATTGACATTGTTAATAATGCAAATATATATATATATATTTAAAAACCCCAATACTGAAGGCAGAGTTAGTGGAGAGGAGATAGCCATGTCAGGAGCTTGTCCTACTCTCAAGTAGGACCCTGGCAGACACACAGACACATGCCCGACTGGCATGTTCTCTCCCTCCTGGTCATTCATTCAGGAGCTTCAAAAGCTTCCTTCAGCCCGAACATCACAGCAACCAATGCCAAGAGGCGTCGGCACACTTAGGGATCCGCAGAGTGTTCGCAGTTTGCGTAACAGACCTCAGCAACTCAGCATTTTGGCTAATCTACTTTATTTACATATAAACACACACGGAGCACTACAACATGGCTCCCTCTCTTTCTAGCATCAGACAGCAAAGAGAAAAAACAAAGGACAATAGTCCCACTTCACGAAACACAGTAACACAAACATCCTGTCTCCGTCACTTCCCACTCTGTAGAGTCAAAACATACATCATCATGTGACAGATAACGATCCCATGACTGCAATCATGGAGCAGGAATTCTAACAAGCCATACCATCAGGATGAGTGAGGGTGGCAGATTTGTGGGGACAGGGCAATAGTGGTAGCCCCCAGCTGCTCTTCCAAAGGCGCCCACCTGTTCCCCTCTGTTGAAGAACTCTTTATTGCCCTTAGATGTTTGGAAGGAAACTGTTGTATTCTCAATATCGAAGTGTCAACTGCTAGTCAAGTTGGCCCTTGTGCATGAAGTGCAGCTGGTCTTGTCCTCAGACAGAAAATTGTTTTGGTCCGGTTGTGTTGTGTGGGTTCTCCCAGCCTACATACTGCTCCTTTCTGCTAACTTATGAAGTACCTTGACTAGTGAGAGGGTCATACTTCAGTGGAAGAGCACATGCGTTGCTTGAGGAAGGTCTTTGTTTTAGTTCCTGGCAACTACAGGGAAGACTAGGAAATATTTCTGTCTGAAATTCCTGGAGAGATGCTGTCAATCAGCACAGACTTGCCATGTGGCAGCTTCTTATGTTCTCCCAGTTTCATCCAACAGTTAATGTGGCATATGATGCCCTGGAAGATGCATTACTTGTACAGCAGGCTAAATGTGTGATTAGAGGAGCCGCAGGAGCAGAACCTTTTGCGTGGCTCTCTACCCATGTGGAAGCAACCACAGAAGAGGTGGCAACCACACTGAGCATTTATAACAAGTCTTATATTTAGGGAAACCTTGATTGGACAAAACTCTGGCTTCATATAAATTGCGAGCTGTAACGCTTTTGTGATAATTATGTATCTCATGGGATCCTCAAAGTAGGTTGGTTCTCTCATTTGCTCATACTGAATTATGATCTCATTCTATAAAAGAAAATGTTTCATTGGCTTGCTTCCTTATGACTCTCCTACCCCACTTTATTAGCAGACTGGACTCCTGCATTGCTCCGCTAACCCCTGCCCTGGGTGTCCAAGCCAAAAAGAGAGAGAATTGAGTAAGTTGAGGTTGTGAAAAAGAATATAAAACCAGGAAGAATTAAGCAACAGGCTAAACTTATAAAGGTAAATGTTTTAAAAGAAAAAAAACAAAACAGACCAATGAAGTAGCCGCCAAATTTGCCTTTTGCAGTGCAGTTGTGCCTGCTGAGCAGCACACAATTACTTAATTCTATTTTTTCATATAAAACTACTACCATGGCAACACAAATTATCAAAGTTATTGCATGGTGACACTGGCCCCTCTCCAAAGCAACCCATGTGTGGAGACATGCACATGGAATTTTTGTCTAGTTTTTAAACAGCCCCTTTAAGAGGGAGGGATCTTCTCTAATAAAAATTAAACAACCATTTTAAACAAAGATGTCAAATATAATGCTCCATAATATGTCAGTGTGGTTTTCAAATGTTATGTTTGGAGGGAAAATGCAAGGTGCATTGACTGTTTTTGAATCCTTTTGCAAACTTAAAAAAGAATCAACTAGGATGCAGCGGTTTGCAAATTGCATTCTCACAAACTTGTTGGGGTTCCTCAGCAAGAACATCAGGAATGGTGCTTTGCTTCTCCAAATTATAGCTTGTCCATCACTACTCATTTTCTCCTGCAATGTTGGGTGTGCTATTGGTCACATTCTTGGTTCAAGTGAGGCTTAAGATGGTGTTGCATGCAAACCGTGTGTGCAACACAGAATATTCCCGTGTAACCTGGTGGATACGGTAATGTGGAAATGACTCCCCAAATGTAAAGTATATTAAAACCATTGGATGAATGTGGAAAAATCACTATCTATCTGCAACCATTCTAGCAAATAGCATAAGTTTGAAGAAGAAGGAAAAGAAGAGAGGAGCTGCTGTCAAATAGAGAGCTTGGGTCGATTGCTATAGATTCTCGATTTTCTATAATATAGAAAATTAGCAGATGACATAAAACAAGGAGGCTGAAAGTATTAGGAGCCAATAGCACTCACAAGCAATGTTAGAATACAGGCAAGTCTGGGTTAGAGAGATGAAGGAAAGTGGGGCAATACATACCTATCATTTTTAGCATATCATGCAATCTAGGGTCCCTTGGCTGCTGCATTTAAATATCAGTATCAACCACCAGATGGCATTGCCTATTTCCTTGTAATTTATATGGAAGGAATGGTTTACAGATGATAAAGGTTTACAGTACACTGAAGTAAGTTAATATGCAATTAATAATATTAAGAGAGAACAATGTATTAGTAAAACATTACTGGGTCTTGAGATCATGCTTTCTATGTATCTGTTTCAGAGTACTAATGAAGACCATTTTAAGGCTGCAATTCTATACAGTATATTCTTACTTAGGTATAAGTGCCATTGAACTCAACATTTTTATACTAAGATGTTTTTACCCTGCCATAGGCCACAGAATTTAACTTACTGTCAAAACCCCAGGCAAACTGGACAAACTTATCTTTTAGATAAACAAGGCTTTTATCTTTAAGAAGCCAAGCTATTGATGCTGATGCCCGAAAAATTTGACAATACGATAGCCACTACAAGAAAGGCTCTCTTTCAAGCAGCTACCCACCTAACTTCCAAAAGTTGAAGCACCCAGAGAAGGGCCATAGATGAAAATCATAACTAGAGGGTAGTTTAATATGGGAACAGCTTGTTCTCCAGATTCTCTGTCCCTGGACCAGTCAAAGTACATCAAGTGCACCACAACAGCATTTCACACTAGTCATATTACTGGTTGTGTAAGGAGGTTGGGAATTAATTGTTGAATAACCACAATATACTTGCCCCACCACCCCAGTCAGTCACAGGTAGTAAAGATGGGAAAGGACAAGAAGAGAGGGAGATACTACTGGATTGGTTCTGAAAAGTGAAGAACAATGGAGTTTCCAGAGCCAGAGTTGCAGTTGGACTATGAGAGATTGCAGGAAAGTAACTGCATTTCAGTCTAACATACCCCACAATATTGTTTTGAGGATTAAAATGCGGTAATTGCATGCATTTATATATAGACTGAGACACAGCAGTAAAAAACTAACTTTAAAAGACAGTTTAAAAAAACAGCATTAAACAATTCTAGCACTGGGTATCATTAAATGCAGACAAGTCCCCCATTTTCTCAGTTCAGATTGAAGCTGATTGGAACCAAAACACGTCAAAATGGGGTATTTGCTAAGGAAGAACGGGATAAATTCAGGACAGAAATGAACTGTGGCTAACATCATGTGTACACCACTTCCCAAGCCAGTGGTGGGAATGCACTGGATGCAATGGGATTATGTACACAGCCTGTGTCAGAAGATGTTAAAAGCTTGCGAAAGTAAAAAGATATTTGCTTAGCACTAAAAGACATGAGTGTATGGACCAGGCATGCGTCCCTGAGGAGGGTGTATTCCACAAACAAGGCACCACAACAAAAAAAGCCCTCTTTCTCATCACTGCTGGCTTCATCTCAGATGCCAGGATACAGAGATGGTAGCTGTGCATGGATGGATTGATGGAGGGTAGATGTAGCCTTAGGTACTCAGCTCCCAAGTCACATTGAGGTTTCAAAGGTAAGCTAAGCACCAGCACTTTGAATTGTGCTTGGAAATGGACTGGGGACCAGTGGAGCTCCGTAAGCACGTTTCTGGCAGCTCTGCAGATACATTATGTGCAGTCTTCAAAGGCAGCCCCACATAAAATGCATTGCAGCAGTCTAGCCTGGAGGTTATCAGAACAAGGATAACCATGGACAGGCTAACTGTATCCGGGAAGGGTCTCAGCGGCTGAAAGGCACTTTGTGCCACAGGCGACATTCGGGCCTATGATAGCAAAGCAGATTTGATAAGGATCCCCAGGCTGTGTACCTGCTGCTTCTTTGACGGGAATGACCTGCATCCAGAACAAGTTGGATTTAGATATACATAGACCCAAACCCCACCAGGACACCGCAGTGCCTAGGCCTGGGCCTGCATCTCGAAGGAAAATGTAAACTGTGAGCAACACGGCAGAGCCAATTTTCAAGAATGAACTTACATAAAAGAATCCCAGGGGTCCCGATATATACGGCATTTTCATTCCCAAGAGGTACTTGACTTGTGAAGTCACGACGTGCGTAGCTGCTCCCGTCGTCATTGCGCTTATCACAGGCTCCGTGAGCAAGAAGGTGGCACTGCCCAAGTGTAGCACAAACATTGCTACCTGAGAAACCAAAGATATATTAACAGCGATTACATGTGAATATGGGTACCAAGGCTAATGTAAGGAAAAGATACGCCCACCCTTTTAACATAAAAGGGACAAGATAGCACCACGAGCTAATCAAACAGTGAAGTTTTTTTTTAATTATGCATTGCATACCATGAATAAACTTTCAACACATGTCCACTTTTATACATTCATTATATGTTATCTCTCTCCTATCACTGGTTTACCAGGCTCTGGGTTGAGATTAGCTATAATAACAGCTGGCTCTGCCAATGTGTATTTAGTACAGTGACTTTTCTGAAGCATTGGCTCGAATGTTGTTGTTTTTTAGTTACTCCAATATATAGGCACAATAAGCTCTGCAGGGCTTGGGGGGGGGAGTAAGCCACGAAAGTCTGGCTGAAACTACTTTTAAAAAACCATTCCATTCATACCTGTTCTCTGTACAGTGTCTGACAGATTTAAAGTCACAAATGGCCAGGATTTTAGGCCCCACAGGTTTAAGTGGAAGGAGCTATGCCTCTCAACCACGTTTCTATTCCTTTGAGATGTACACTGCCTGGCCTAAGCAGACAGAACTAAACAAGCAAAATGAAGTTGTTATGTCCTCAGCTTTGTACTGACACCAAAATCTTTGACGGCTATCGGAGGACAGTCTTCTGTTTCCCCTATTACATGCAGTTTTGTACCCATTATTTGGTTTGAGAACTGTATCACAAAATTCAAAGACTAGCTGTGTCTTGGTTTGTGTTGGTTTAAGAAGTGTGCATTGCAAACTGTCTCCTGCCTCACTTCTTAATCTGTGACTCTCCTCTTATTCCATAGCTGCTAATGTTTCTCAGGTGTCTTTGCTGAGAAACTTTGTAAAACTTTTCAGAAAATCAATGCATACAATGTCAACTAGATCACCTATATCTATCTGTTTGTTGACACTTTCAAATAACTTCCAGATTCCTGGATACTCCTTCAGATATATAACTCCCTGCACAAAGGAAACTAAATCAGGGATATGGGTTCTAGCCAAGCCTCATTCCTGATATGCCTGTTCTCTGTATGTAACCATGCCAGTTCCCACAGGGAGTATTCCATAATGAAAACCCTCACAAGCAGTCAGGTGCAATGAAACATGGTTATTGTCTCATCTACTGTTTTGTCATAACTAGGCTGTAGGCATTGATAAGGAACAACCTCATATGGTGTGAAACTAAGCAGGATACTGACACCCATGTTCCCAAAATGGCCTTGTGAAATAAAGTTAAGTTGCTACCTTGACAGGGGGTTGAGCTCAGACCAGGTCCATAATGGAACCAGAGGGCAAAACTCAGGTTTTTCAGAAGGGTTCAGCAGTATGCAGTCAGTGGCTCAAGGTTTTTGAGTGGAACTTTGAGTGAAAGACATCTATTCATATAAAAGTGTGTTGCCTGAGAAAAGAAAAATGGCTAAACAGATGAAAACCACCCTTTCCTTCGTTTGTTCTTTGACCATGTCTACAAAGAAACAAGAAACAGCCATCTCTTTTCCTGAGGGAATGGCAACTCCAACTAGAGAAGCCCTCCTAGGAGATGTGGAGTGTTGTTATAGAAACCATGAACCGGTTTTCTAGCCACCATCTGGTTTGTATGATTCAGCTTGACCCACTGGGCCTCTCCAGTTTTCTATTTCCTTAGTAGGTGCACCTGTGCCCCCTTCACATACTGACAGCACCAGAGAGCAAACATGAATCCGCTGGCACTCCCAAAAAATACAATGAAGTTCAAGAACACTGTGACATTGAATCATACAAATATCTTTGCCACAGTCACTGGTTTACTTCAATGGCCAAGGCAAGAAACCAACTCCCAAAGGCATTCCTAACTGAAACCATCACCAGGATGATACAATTTGTGCAATTTATGCAATTTATGGTAGGGACATTGATGCTGTTTTCTGATCACAGCCAGGATATCCTGAAGAATAAACACTTCCAACGTCTATTATTTAGAGTATAACGGCTAATTGGATTTTCAATTTTATTGAACTATTAGCCTGAACAACATATCCTGCTGCAAATAGCTTCAGAGAATGTATGCTGAATAAAGACAAACTTGCTTTTACTAGCCCAGTCTTTTTGCCTTACATTGTCTGTGCTGAACATGCATTATTTTGCCGTTCTTTAACTGTGACAAAGACTTTTAAAAAACATTACTATCTGTGTTCTTAAAATTGCTCTGCAGTTAATTACTTGTTGCGTTGCAATCTAGATAACATTTTGTATCCCAAGTCATTCAGCACCGTCAACAAAGTGTTGCTCATGACCTACTTTTACTTACAGTATTTCAGTTACAGTTTCACTATTCTAGTGACTGGAACAAAACTTGTGTCTATTTTCAGTGTCCTGTACTGACTACAAGTCCTAGCCTATAACTTTCATCACTGTAAAAATAATCAAAGTTTAAATGTTAAAACTAGGGCTGATTTGAATGCTTCAAATACATAGATTAATACACTTATGCTTTCATTTTCTGTGTGTAACATGTAAAAAGGCAACCCATATATTTCTTCCAGAGACTGACATGTGGGCTCATGTAATTCTCTATGGGGGAGCTATGGAAGCGGTTTACACAAGAAACAGTTTCTACACTGGAAACCATCCTCTAATCCAGCTAATAGCGGAAGGAATATTCCAAATGGGGAAACAGTGCAGGTAGATCTCAAAATGCAGGATGAAATGTGTATACAAATAGACCCTCTTTGAACAAGAAGACAGAGGGACATAAAGACATGCACATTTCATTCTGCATTTTGAGATCCGAAGGTGACAGTCCTCTGTCTTTACAAGCATGCCATATTTATCAAGGAGATGCATATAACTAGATACAGTTGGTCTTTATTGCAGTTGGTTTTAACATACCATTGTAGCAATGGGAGGCAGCAACCTTCCACATGATGGCTTCCCTGAATATGTGGGGCAATCAGCAAGACCACAGCCTAGCCAGGATTGTATAGAGACACACTTATCAAAGGAGAGTGCAATGAGGGATACATCCCATAACATGATAAATGGGTGCGCGCAAAAGTATAATTATATTCATCAGCCCTCTAGAGTGGAGCCACTGGCCACAATCCAACACAATAGTTGCCAAAGCCCCTTGAAATTAAGCATGGTTAACTCTGTTGAACTGCAGGCATCTCACAGCAATATGTAGCCAAAGGTGAAACCACTTTAGCACGGCTACAGCCACAAAAAGGGAGAGATTGTGAAATGAAAAGGAACAAGTCCAAGGACAAATGGACATGGGAAACGCACAATGTCCTTCCAACATCAGCAGTGTGAAATAGAAATGATTTGTTAAGATGAATATCTGGCCAAGAGCCATCTTGAAAAGGAAAGGGCAGGGCTAACTATTCGAAAATATGCTATATTCTACTAGGGCGTCACTCACTTTGACAAGCCTGTTCAATAACATTGGTCTTTGAATGGCCTGAGATATGCTCTTAAATTGACACTACTTAATGAGGGTCAGGAGATAAGACAGAAGTCACATCTTGGACACTACTGTTATCTGGCTGGAGACAATTTGGGCTGTGTTAAATGATGCACAGAATTGCATCAGTCTGTATTATGAGAACTCTCTTTCAGGCAGCAAGTTCCTTTAAATATGTTTAAAAGAATGCAATTGGATCAGTCGGAAGGAATCAATTTTACTAGTTAATGTTTATACCATAATAATGTTTCATAGTCTTTAAGGAGTCACAAGACACTTGTCTGATTTTGCTGCATCAGGCAAGCATGGCCATCCCTCTGGAAATAGAGTAGGAATGTAGTACTAGTGTGTGGGTGTTTTCTTGTGCCATTTGCCCAAACTAGGGACATTTATGATACCTGTATGTTTTGCCAAGCAAGTCAGACAAGAACTTTGCAAGGGTTTCATTGATCTCCTGCATTCCAAATAGTTTGGCCCTTGGAGAGGAAGTTTTCCAATGTCAGATTAAAAACAAACAAACAAACAAACAAGAATTGGTAGGCAAATTCATTATTTTGTTGGGGGTGGAGGAAAAAGCAAAGTAGTGGAAAGGCAGAACAATGTCCAGAGTTGGAGGCTAGCAATTAAACATAGAAAAGGTTAGAGTGGTACCTCGGGTTAAGTACTTAATTCGTTCCAGAGGTCCGTTCTTAACCTGAAACTGTTCTTAACCTGAAGCACCACTTTAGCTAATGGGGCCTGCTGCTGCTGTGCCGTTGCTGCGCAATTTCTGTTCTCATCCTGAAGCAAAGTTCTTAACCCAAGGTAATATTTCTGGGTTAGTGGAGTCTGTAACCTGAAGCGTATGTAACCTGAAGCGTATGTAACCCAAAGTACTACTGTATTTACCTATTTACTATCTTTTGTGGAAAGAAGCCTAAAGTGGAGCACTAACTAATGAAGACAACACAAGGAACTGAAGCATGGAGTGCGCTAGCAACTTAAGGTACAAATCACAGAAAACTAAACATGCTAAAGATATAGCCCAGGCATAGGCAAACTCGGCCCTCCAGATGTTTTGGGACTACAACTCCCATCATCCCTGACCACTGTCCCAAAACATCTGGAGGGCCGAGTTTGCCTATGCCTGATATAGCCAATTCATAATAGAACATTCTGCTGGGTAGGGGAAGGTTAGGGTCAGGTTGTCACCTTCATTTGATTTGCTGTGATTTAATGTGGATTGCCTAGAGCTGGTGGAGAAAAAAGAGGTTGGGGGGAAGGGGGAGAAAATATGACAAAAGAATATTAAAAAATGAAATCCTGCCTCTGCTGAAAAACCGAATAAAACAAAGCTTTGAAGAGGAAAGACACAAGATTTTCCACAGTTCAGTAGCTATTGTGTGTTGGTTCAAAAGCATTCCTTACCTCTCCATTAGATAAATAGTGATTACAATAGAATAGCCTGATTAGCTTTTGTTGCCATGCTAAATGAGAACAAAAGATGTTTTCTTTCTGATAGTGTCCATTGGCAACTAATAACAAGATCTGTCAAGCATATGACTGTTTACAAAAGTCAGCATAGAAAAGTTTTTTTTAAAAAAAAAAATGTTACATGATTGTAACATAACTCAGGGGCAAATGAATATGCCATGGGTCCTCACAACCACATAATACAACGTTTGGACATCAATTGCAAGAATCCAACATGCAGTTCATCAAGCATGGGATGAATGCCCATGACTCTGTTTTGTCACGCATGCAAATGCCAGGAATCATGAATTCTCTCCTGTGTACATGTAATAAAACAGACACATGTGCAATTGGGACTTAGGTCTCAAATAACTGAAAGCCCACATTCTTCCCTACAGATGCTCTTTGAGTGTTAAGGGCAGCAGCTGGAGCCATATCGGTAGTTCCACTCTCCTCAGAAATTCAGAGGGTAGTGGCCCAGGAAAGGGCACTCTCTGTGGCAGCCCTTAAGTTGTGAAACTCCCTCCTTACACAGCTGTGCCTGGCATCTTCTTTATACAGCTTTTGTCATATGCGTATCTTCACCCTGGTCTTGGACACCTGAAATATATATTTCTAGTGACCCTAATCTGTTTTAATATGTTTTAAATAGTTTTTAGTGGTAGGCCAACATTTGGGGGGAGGGGGCACCAAGTTGAAGCTACCAGCATGAGTTTGACCAAACTGGGGGAGGCAGTGGAAGACAGGAGTGCCTGGCGTGCTCTGGTCCATGGGGTCACAAAGAGTCGGACACGACTAAACGACTAAACAACAACAACCAAGTTGAAGGAGGCTACACTATGGTCTTAAATGTCTGGGGTACACCAATATCCACTTTCCACAATGACAAGAAAACTAGGGCATGCACCTCACCACAGAAACGCCCCAAAGCATGCAGTAACATAAGCATCATATAATAAGGGTACATTTACAGCAATGTAAAAGGTAAAGGTAAAGGTACCCCTGCCCGTACGGGCCAGTCTTGACAGACTCTGGGGTTGTGCGCCCATCTCACTTAAGAGGCCGGGGGCCAGCGCTGTCCGGAGACACTTCCGGGTCATGTGGCCAGCGTGACAAGCTGCATCTGGCGAGCCAGCGCAGCACACGGAACACCGTTTACCTTCCCGCTAGTAAGCGGTCCCTATTTATCTACTTGCACCCGAAGGTGCTTTCGAACTGCTAGGTTGGCAGGCACTGGAGCCGAACGACGGGAGCGCACCCCGCCACGGGGATTCGAACCGCCGACCTTTCGATCGGCAAGCCCTAGGCGCTGAGGCTTTTACCCACAGCGCCACCCGCGTCCCTTACAGCAATGTACCTGAGTGCAATAACTGACTGATGGTAAGGAATTGTGAATACTCTAGTTAATTGCTGATTCTCAGTAGAGGCCATATTTCAGTTTTGTGGATTCAGCCATTTGCCATAACAACAACAGTCTACAATGACAATGAACACTGGTCTGGCACATGCTCCAAAAGATAGCACTTGACAAAGCACGCATGAGCTTTGGCCAAAGCAAAAGCTAGAGAGGTTATTTTACGAGTAGCAGCCATATTCTTAATGGCAAGAAGGAAATCTGTCTTTGGGAGTTTTGCCCAGTGTCATTTAAAAATATAAATCAAAATAAGTGTATCCACTGGGCATTGAAACAAAAGAAATACTGATTTAAAAAAACCAAACACCTCAATTTGGATGTTTCCACAGACAAAAAATAGCAAATTATTATTATTATGATTATTATATGGAATTGCATGCAACACTTAGATATCTACCCACTAATACAGAAGCAGTCATTAACTGAAATGTGATCATGGTAAAGAATTTTGTTTACAGTTCCCTCCTCTTCTTTTTTTAAAAAAGTACGTAATTCCTATGCACAAAATACCATACACATTCATTCCATCTATGGGCTCTTATAAATTTTGAACAGTTAAAAGTATGTCTCATAAACAAATACATTATAAAGAGTACATGCATAATAGGGGGGAAAATAAAGATATCACATTTTATCTTTCCTTATTATTACTTTTCATTTGTATTACATTAGCATTAAGTTTGCTCCAATCCCAGCTACCTCAAGTTCTTTTCTTCTGTATTGCACTACCAGCCTCCAATCATCCGGCCTTTCTTTATTATCCCTTATTACACATAGAGAGTAATGCCTTGCATCTTATGACAAAAGCTTACACCTTAATACATGTGTTACACTTTAAAGTGCCACAAATCCCCATGGCTATTATAGATTGTAAGTCCTTTTGAAGATCTTACAAGCTGAAAAAGCAGGAGATAAATGTTTCCAATAGATAAATTAATAAAATACAGTCTGCTTTCTGCCAAAATTCTGCAAAGCAGAACAGGGTGGTTCCACCTATCCATTGCAACTGGAACTTCAGTTTGGCCCTTTTAAAAATTAGTCACCACTGGTGTTCCAGGGCATGCTCTCAGTTTGCATGCAGCCTGTTAGGCATATCAGCTGTGCTATGTAAACTGAGAGTGCCAACAGGAACATACCTGGGACTCCACTTAAAGTGCATTAATAATCAGATTTAAAAGAGTGGTGGAACCAGCTTTCTTGGTTTAACCTGAAAAGCAGCAGGTAAACTTAAGACGGGTATGTTGAAGCCAGAGCAAGCGATGTCATGTAACTTTGCACCAAACCTGCCAGCAGCTTTCTTAAGGATAAGGAAACATTTGCCTGTGCTACATGAAACTCCAGCTTCCTCTCTGGCCCAGATCAACTTCATTTGCAAGCTGAAAACAGTCACAGTGGAACTTCTTGCCATATGACTAGATGCTGGGAGACGCAAGAGAAGGGATTCTGGGAAATGGTCTCTTGAAGACTAGTTCTGATGTTGTTATGCAATGTGCGCCATTGTCCCCCAAATGGCTTCTTTGCAAGGATTCATCATGTAGGATGGGGAGCCCGTGGTCCTCCAGAAGTTGCTGGACTCCAACTCCCATCAGCCCCAGCCAGCATGGCTAATGATCCGAGATGGTGGGAACTGTAGTCCAGGAACGTCTGGAGGGCCACATTAGCCACCCCTGATGGAAGTGACTATAACATTTGTGTGTCAATTAGCAGGTGATTTGGCCCACCCACAGGCCCATGAAAGTAGGCCTAAACACATGGTAAGCCACTCATTTTTCAGCAGACTCCCATCTTGATTTGGCAGAATTAGCTCCCAGTTTTTATTTCTTGGAGCAGACAGGAACCCTGGTGGGTAAAAGGGAACATTTCCCCTTAAATTCAGTAAGCAGCAGCTTAGCTGAAATACTGATCATGTTTTACATAAACCTCAGCATGTAATGAAATGTATATTTCATTTTTAAAGATCGTGTACAACTGGCAGCTCCCTCTGATCTTTCTTTTGTGGCATCAACACTACAGCAGTGAGGTGTCTTCCATGCTACTTAGGCCACATCAAACTCCAGAGCACATGGGAGGACTCCATGCTATGGCTCCATCACAATCCAGTTTTGCTTCTTCTAGGAGCTCTGGATGCATTATGGTTTACTGCTAATCTGATTTTCTATATGTATCGGCTATTAAGGGATACCTACTTGAATGAGTCCTCCTAATAATGAAACTGCTGCAGCAACTCCAATCCTCTGCATCTCAAACTCAGATAATCCCAAGACCGTGGAGTTATTGTTTGCTGTGAAGTTGCTGCTCATGGGAGGAACAAGACGCTCGACAGCATTTGCTGATATCAAGGAGGTCAAAGCAAAGGTTCCTGCAAAAGAAGAGACAGTTCAGTTTCTGTTCGGTACAGTTCCAGTTTGTTTTGCATTGTGCTTAAAATGAAGAAAGTGCTATTGAAATCTATTGACTGGGTGCAGACTAAGTCATATTTCAAGCAGCAACCAATGAGTCCAGTTAGTCATGACGAACTATGGACGTAGCCAAGGGGGGCGGGGGGCGGGGGGCAGCTGCCCACCCTAGATCAAGTAAAACAATAGAAATACTTAACTAACTGAACAATCACGGTGGTTCTGCCCCACCCCCAATGCCTGCCCTCCTAACAAAAATTGTGGCTATGCCCAAGTGACGAACGTAAGTATTATTGATTTTCAATGGGATTAAATTGTGAACAACGTAGTTGGGATCCAAACCTATGAGTGTTGTGTCCAAATGATTGTGCTTAAAATGTGCTGAAAGTTGCCTTGCCAGCTCTGTATTCAGATAGTCCAACTACATGTCTGTTCTCCATGTGTTGTTTTCTGCACACACCAATTTTAGGCATCACCTCTTACCAGGACAATGTATTTCTCTATTATTCGCTCATCTGGGGCAGAGCGGCTAGTCCTGGGAGGCCACCATCTTCCTGTGTATTCGGGGCGGGGGATGGCTACCTGGTGCCACCCACCTCTGGTCATGCTGGACCTTCCAGTTGGGGTGAGCCTTGCCCGCAAGGCCAATTGGGGCAGAGGCATGGGGGCTGTGCCCTGCCTGCTCCTGGTGTACTTAAGAGGGCTGCCAAGCGCAGGCCACCCTCTTTGCTGACCGCCGTGGGATTTTCCACCCATCCAGTCTGTTGGGGGTCCGCCTAGTGGGGGAGCGGGCAAGTTAGAGTATGGACCTTGCTATATTCAGGGCCAGGAAGGAATTTTCTCCTGCAAGCTGGCTTGCCAGTTTTCACCTACCGTACCTCATAGCAACTGTCACAGCTTTGGTGGATAAGGCATTGGGCTGGATGCTGAGTGGTGTGGATACCCTGTTAAAGGGGTCCAGGAGGGATGAGACTGTCCAGGAGTCCACATAGGGACTGATGGTCCAGTACACCTCTCCCAATGGCGGGCTGTGCAGGGTTGTGGCACTCGATCCATGTTGGGGGATGACTCCCCAGCACAGGGTCGACCCCACTGAGTTCTTATCAGGCAGCATGTGAGCTGCCTGATGCTGGATACATGCCCAATGCCTTAGCCAAACATACTCTTTCCTGTAATCAATAAAGCTGTGGCCTAATTTGACCCAATACCAGGCCTCTGTGTCCATTCCTTCGGCCCTTCCCACAGCAACCACAAACATCATGCGCCAGCGGCAGCAATCAAAGTTACATTTGTATGTTATTGAAATGATAAACAAAGGCTGTTTATTCAACTCTTGTTTTGTGTGTATATATGTGAGTCATCCTGCTACATGTACATGGGATCCTTACATAAATGCTTGAGTGAAATATATATGAAATGTTGTTAATGGATGTTGTGATAGCCACCAACTCAATGAAGAGATCTGAAGAGAAATATTCGGGGGGGGGGGGCGTTAATAGCATTATTGGAGGCACTATAGAACCGTTTCAAAACTATAAGTTCACCCAGATCTATAAAAGATTACAAATACTGGTCACAGAAAGAAGATACTTTACAATAACTACAAAGCATTTTTTTAAAAAATGAACGCCAAATTTCTCCACTGATCAAAATTTTCTAACCAAACACTCTACGCCTTCATTCTGGAAATCTTGTTTCATCTAAAAGCAACATGAATAGCACAGAACGTGCATCAATTACGCTGCTCAGATATCCCAAACCATTTAAATATATCAAACTGCATCCAACATTTATTCAAATTACCAGATGTCCTAAATGCTTTGCTTGAAGAAACCAATAGTCCAGCTTGTCCCTGTTGGGCAATTACTGCACTTTAAATGAAGTAACTACGTAATGTCTACTTTGCTGACTCAAGAGTTATGATCGCTTCCAAGGAACTTGCCACAAGATGCAAATCCAACTTGCCAGTGAGTTGCAAGGGGCCTTTGACAATAGGCTTTGCATACGTCCTGATGCAAATTCTATGTACTTTGGACGGAATGCTGCTTTCCCAGCAGACCACATGGCTGCTACAGAGCTGTTAAATGTAGCACTGAATGCACATTTTGGCACACAGACCATTTCCAAAAAACCACGCAATTACTCAAAAGACAATGATTGCTCCTTAGAAAGCATAATAACAACCAAAGGGAATGTGCATATACTTGGGCTTTTCAAACCCCGAGGGGATAACTTTGTGTGTGGTTCCACGCAATTCAGAATTTCCCCTCCCCAATATCTGAAAGGCTCCCATAGCTCTTTCCCTTCCTCCATCCTTTCCAACCCGTATTAACTAAAGGGAGGCCATGACCCCCGTACCCAGCTCCATTGTTTTCTGCAACCGGGACCAGATGTTCTCTGTAGAAACCCTGCTTCTCATTCTGAGAGATCAGTTCTCAAATTAATATCTTAGACGGACCCCTTCTTTGGTTCTCAGTAAGCATCACTGGGATGCCCATATGAGCTTGAAAATTACCCATGACTGGGCTGGGCAACTGGTGGGTTCCCAGATTCCCATCAGCCCTAGCCAGAATGGCCAATAGTCAGAGATGATGGAGCTGGACTTTCTAGATCCAATCACCTCTGCAGCAGGAGGAGGAGGAGGAGGGGAAGCAGCCAGCTACTGGAGTTGTGCCATGGTCGGCTCCGCACTTTGCCTCCGTGATTTGTGGGGTGGGGGCCCAGCCTTACCCCCAAAATGTAGGCGCCCCCAAAAGGGCTCAGCCCCCTGGGGCATGATCATGGTCCCCCCAAACTTGTACCTACACGTGCTGTCAAACAAAGAGGAGAGTAGACTCTGGTGCTTACAGAGTGAAGATTTTTAATTTTGTTCACCATCTAATTAAATAATAACAATAGAGGAAAAAAAATTAAAAAATTCATCAGTAAGCACAGTAGTCTACTTTCCTCTCTTTGAGTCAATGTTTTCCTGCACATTCAAAGCATTTAGCCTTAGATACTGGAGGAAATATAGCTATCCTGGCTAACAGACATTGATGCTGTTGTCAGTAAGCTCTTGTTATTTTTAAAGCACTGTCACAATTGAAAAGAACATTTGGTGTCAAGGTAGATGGAGTGAATCAAGTCCTTGAGGTGAGGCAGTAGAATGCGCACTGACGCCATCCTGACTAAGACCCGGCCAGGAATTGTTTAGTATGAGAGTTGGGCTCCAGCGTCCTTTGTAAGGGATGAATGATTTGGATGATATAGTGCAGCTGCCTAGAAGAATGGCAAAATTTCTGATGCAGGATCGCCCTTTCTTGCTTAACTATTCTTCTGTTGTACATAATATGGATTTATATGTTTACATCCATACATAAAAGAGACCTTTATGTGTATGTGTGTGAGAGAGAGAGCCGGGCAGGGGACACACACACACACACACACACACAGAAAGAGAGAGAGAGAGAGAGAGAGAGAGAGAGAGAGAGAGAGAGAGAGATTATCTGAATATGAGTCAGCCAAACGATAACAACAATCTCTTCTGGTTTCAAAGCAAGCGAACATTGTGCAGCTCTTGTTTTTTGTTTCTGGAAATAAGCAAATAAACTGCCTTTGGCTGAGCTCTCCCAGGTGAAACTTTCATCTTAGAGCACATGTTATAGAGCATTATATATAATGGTATAATGTATTTATTTTGTTTATTTTTGAAACTTAAGAGCCTTCATCAAAAGACCCCAGGGCAGATTATAGCAATGAAACAATAAAACAAACAAGAGAATACAAACAAAACAATACAATACAACACAGTTAACTAAAACTACACCATCCATTCAAAGGCCAAAGGCCAAACCTTAGCATCCAAAGGCCTTCTGAAAGACACAGACCTTTAGCAGGCACCAGCCAGATCTCGAAGTGGAGAGTCCTTATGGAGACAGTGTTGGTGCAATATTAATGATGCAGATACAGTTCCAGATTGACCTTCATCATGCTTCCCCCACCCCAAATAGTTTTATTACACAGGAAAAAAATGTAGTTGTAAAAGAAATGCACCAAAAAAATACCAAATTCATTTGTGGAGGATGATTTCTATCTCCTCCAAGCTGCAAGAGTTCAGAATAGTCCAACTACTGAAGTCCACAAAACTATTGCCGAATTGGAGTGTCACAGAGAGCACAACCCATCAAGCGCTGCTGTTACCCAAACTCCATTTGCTTCCGCAGAACTTACATGGGGTTCCTACAAATGAATGGAGTCCGAAAAGTTGCAAAGCTTTGTGCATTGATCCTCGGGGACTCTTTGATTTTCAGAGAAGCCGAATGGAAGCTAATTCTGCATTCTGCCCTTCCATGGAAGAACAGCTTGTTTAATTTTTATTCATCGTACACTGTGAGCTATACAAAACACTAACCTCGAAGGCAACATTAAGAGAGTCAGCCAACAGACCTGTTAAGTTCTCGGAACTGGTCCTCGAGGATCCAGAAGCACTTACCTGTGGCAACGTGGCGTCCCATTCCAAATATGGCATAAATAATAACAGGGAAGAGAGATCCGTATAAGCCAAACACAGGATGCACTGAAGAGAGAACAGCAAAGGCAAGCCCTGTAGAGAAGGTAGATGGGAATTATGAAATAAATCAGGTTACGTTCTGAAGGATTTTAAAAAGGGATTAGAAAGGTTCATGGAGCTATCAGTGGCTATTAGCCATGGTGACAACATTCTACCTATGCCTCTGAATACCAGTTTCTGGAAATCATGAGCAGGAAAAATGCTGTTGTGCTCAGGTCCTGCTTGTGGCCTTCTCACAGGTATCCAGTTGGCCGCTGTGACAACAGAATGCTGGAGTAGGTGGGCCATTAGCCTGATCCGGCAGGCTCTTCTTATGTTCTTAACATCAATCTGTAATCAGAATTTCATTCTTTGACCATTTTTAGAGGTGGGGTAGCAAGATACATAGGGACGCGGGTGGCGCTGTGGGTAAAAGCCTCAGCGCCTAGGGCTTGCCGATCGAAAGGTCGGCGGTTCGAATCCCCTGCGGCGGGGTGCGCTCCCGCTGCTCGGTCCCAGCGCCTGCCAACCTAGCAGTTCGAAAGCACCCCCGGGTGCAAGTAGATAAATAGGGACCACTTTCTAGCGGGAAGGTAAACGGCGTTTCCGTGTGTGCTGCGCTGGCTCGCCAGAGCAGCGATGTCACGCTGGCCACGTGACCCGGAAGTGTCTCCGGACAGCGCTGGCCCCCGGCCTCTTGAGTGAGATGGGTGCACAACCTCAGAGTCTGGCAAGACTGGCCCAAACGGGCAGGGGTACCTTTACCTTTACTTTAGCAAGATACATAAGAACACAGGAAGCTGCCCTATGCTGAGTCAGGCTACTTGCCCTCCTGGCCCACTGATTTCTAATCATACCAAGATAGGCTATGCCCATGTTCCCAGGATGTTGAATCTATGAAGCACATTTTGTTACACTGTAGTCTGTATAAAGGGACGCGGGTGGCACTGTGGGTTAGACCACAGAGCCTAGGGTTTGCCGATCAGAAGGTCGGCGGTTCAAATCCCTGCGATGGGGTGAGCTCCCGTTGCTCAGTCCCTGCGCCTGCCAACCTAGCAGTTCGAAAGCACGTCAAAGTGCAAGTAGACAACTAGGTACCGCTCCGGCAGGAAGGTAAACGGCGTTTCCGTGCACTGCTCTGGTTCGCCAGAAGCGGCTTAGTCATGCTGGCCACATGACCCGGAAGCTGTACGCCAGCTCCCTCAGCCAATAAAGCGAGATGAGTGCCGCAACCCCAGAGTCGGTCACGACTGGACCTAATGGTCAGGGGTCCCTTTACCTTTAGTCTGTATAAACAGGTTAGACAGCACCTAATCAATTCAATATTAGCAGAGCACCCTGGAATGGCTGACTCTTCTCATGTCAAAAGTCTCCTTGAGGATAAGATTGATACTATTATACTGGCTGTAGCAAAATTCAGTATGTACAAGCTAAAGCTCCTCTGTTGGCAAGCAAGGCCGATCTTACACCTGAATAACTGTTGATATATACTATTGTACCATGTACTTTTGGTCTATGGACCACAATAAAGCTCTGTCTGTGCTTTCTAATCTAACAAGCATCAGCTCTGCAACGGAGGACTTTCCCATCTTCTTCAACCTGATCCTTTTATAGATGGAGATGCCAGAGATTGAACCAGCAACCCTCTGCACACAAAGCAGACGCTCTACCGCTGAGCCACAGTCCCTTCCCTATGGGAATTCCATCTTAGCCACTGTACTAGGAGGAAGTCTCTGGTTTGAATCCTTCATCATCACAACTGCCAGTTAGTGACCAAAGACCTGTCCAAACAATAAAAGCTTTTGCCTGCTGGTGAAAGGAAAGCAGAGGGGCGGTCCGCCTAGTCTCCCATGGGAGTAAGTTCCAGAACTTGGGGGTAGCCACCAAGGAGGTAATCTCACAGGTCCTCCTTGCCAAACATTTCCTTAAGAGTGGTGAGACTGAGAGAAGGTCCTTCCCTGAAGATCTCAAAACCTAGGCAGGTTCAAATAGGGAGATACAGTCCTTTTAAATGGGTGTACTGAATTTAAAATTTAGTTAACTACTCAGTCTATTCCAGCTGCAGAATCTGGAAGTCTCCGATATTTCACATCACCAACTACCTGGTTCTTTTTTAAACAAACAAACAAATCTAGAGATGGCAAAGCAAGAACTTGGGACCTTCTGCATGCAATGCATGTGTGGTATCACTTAGCTGCTGTTTCTCCCATAGAGAGTTTTCAGATTGTTCCTGCTGGACAGATCTACAAATCTCAAAAACACAGGTCTTATTCACACCTGACTTTTAAATAGGATCAAGAGGAACGTAAGATAATTTTCTTGCCACAATCTTTCCTAAAGTCAATACAACATGAGGGGAAACAAGTAAATCATTAACAAGAAGTAACAGCCTGCACATTAAGGTCACAATCCAGTCAAAGCTAAAAACTTTGAAATCCCATTGGCTTCCATTGGTGAGATGCACGCATACGCTCATCTTGAAATAAATGGGACTTGAAAATGCATTACTTTGGCTGGATCATGCATTCTACCATTAATGTCCATAGTGCTTTACAGAGTAATAATGAACCCTGAGCTGTAACATGAGCTCTGAGTGGAAGAGCAGAGCTCTATTAAGGTGCTAACTATTCTTTAGTGTGAAGACCAAAGTCAAGTTAATCATTTTGCCAGATTTAGAATGCATGAGTGGACAAATTACATAATATGGCAAACGTATGCGACAGTGGGGGGGCGGAGAAAAGGTGGTGATGGAAAACAGATTAGATTAGGCAGTCTTTGTAAACTTTTGGTACCTAAAACTAAGTTTCAGTGTTCTTTAGTGTCTAGCCACAAAACCTGCCATAGTCTAAACTGTGAGATAAAGATGCATGATCAAAGTGATTACTTTTAAACGTATTTTTAAATGTATGAATTATAGCCCTCCAAACCCACTACAAAGGTCAAGGCATTTGAGCACTGAATGAAGTATGAAAATATTAATCCTCAGTTCTTGCCTCTTTGTCTCATTAGCACCACTGTCCATCAAGCCATTCTCTTGAGTAGTTTTGTCTAAGAGCCCTTGTTGAGAATTGATTTATATTTATTATACGTCTCCCACCTCTTTTCAATGGAACCAGAAATGGGTCACCAAATGGGATATAATATTCCAAATGTGGACCTATCAGAGTTATATAATAGCATCATAGTTGGCAGCCTCAGGATGTTTCAGGTGAATGAAGCCTTATGTAAAGCACCTGCAAAGCCTAGGCAAGAATGTAGTCAGAGAGCATTGTGTCCAGTCACAGGAAGAATTTTTATTCTTGGCTCTGTCCAACAATCCCATAACACCAGGCACGATCATTGCTAAGCATGAAGGACTACATAGTTAGCCTTCTTATCTGCGCGTGTTTTTACTCTGTGTGTGAGAATTCGTATTTTCGATTTCATTGTTCTGCATGGGACAATGACAATAAAGATATTGTATATTGTATATCGTACTTAAAGCAGGAAATCCTATTCAAAGCCAAGCTGATTTATTTTACCTTTTTAAATAAACAACTTTTTTTAATTGAACAATAAGAACATTGTTGTTCTTAAAGATGAACACTGACAGGAGTGGAAGGGCTGCTTTAAATAAGAGTCCACCCCTTGTGTAGATGAGGGCCAGTGTGGCATGGCAGTTCAAGTGCTGAATGAGAGCTGAGAGACCCAAGTTTGAATCCCCTCTCAGCCACAAAGAACTCAATGAATGACCATTGAGCCAGATTAGTCACTATGTCTCAGCCTAATCTACCTCACAGGGCTGTTGCTGTGTAGAGGGGCAGGGATCATAAAGAGTTTTGATGATAAAAAATCAAAATTTAATATAGAAGTAATAGAAGGCAAAAACAAAACCCTGTCCAGAATTTATGATATACTATTAGAGTGGTACACAAAGGACGAGGAGGTGAAGGAGGCAATGATTAAATGGGCAATTGACTTTGGTTATAATATTGATTTCGAAAGGTGGATAGAAGTTTGGAATTGTAACATAAAGTTCACAGCATGTATGGCACTGAGAGAAAATATCTGGAAGATGCTATATAGATGGTACCACACCCCTGTGAAACTGGCCAAAATGTATAGATTAAAGGACAAGAGATGCTGGAAATGTGGTGAGGTGGAGGGTGACCTATATCATTTATGGTGGACATGTAAAAAGGTGAAAGGCTTTTGGGAATCAATTTATAATGAACTTAAAAAAATATTTAAGTATACCTTTCCCAAGAGGCCTGAAGCCTTCTTGTTGGGAATGATGGATAAAGAAATTAAAAAGGAAGATAGGACGATATTCCTCTACGCCACCACAGCAACGAGAATTATGTTGGCACAATATTGGAAAGTGGAAACTATCCCCAACATAAAGGACTGGCAGATTAGAATGGTAAACTATGCTGAGCTTGACAAATTAACAGGTAAAATAAGAGATCAGGATGAACAGAAATTTCTGAAAAATTGGAGCAAATTTTGGAAATATATCGGAATAAATGTTTAAAGTGAACTGACGGGGTTAGAACAATACGACCAGCGAGTGAATTTAAGACTATAGATTGAAAATCAAATACGTAATGGAAGGAGATATTTGATACTTATCAAAAGGATGGAAGGAAGTTCAGATTGTGTGTTTTCCTTTTTTCAGATGAGTGTTTTTTCTTGTTTTTCTTTTCTCTTTTCTTTGTAATTTTCTCTTTGTATTTTCTTATATGTCTGTTTTTGTGTATAACTTCAATAAAAATGCATTTAAAAAAAAATAAAAAAAATAAAGAGCACTTAGAAATCCCTGAAGGAAAGACAGGTTATAAATGAAATGAATGAATGAAATGGGAGTGCTTATAATAAATAGGCATGCACAAAGAAAAAGAAAGATAACTTTAGCAGTTTTGGTATCTGGCCACAAAATGACTGACCCAAACGTCCGTTTTGTAACTGGTGCAGAATTCAGCAGCCAGATTGCTGACCAGTGCAGGATGGTCCGAATGTACAAAACCAATTCTGGCATGAAGGTACAAATTAGTTTCCAGGCTCAGTTCAAAGTA